AGTACATGTTATAAATACCATAATTATTTCCCCATTCCTCTACTGCTGTATAAATAGGCTTACAACCGATAATGCTTTTTGCCTGCATTTCCTCTCCTTCTTCGTTAATGGAATCCCTATTCAAATAAACAGGACCTGGGCTGCAACAAGAACCTCCAATCTCAGGAAAGGAAGGCCCCTATTCCAGCACCAGAGAATGAACTCTGGTTGGTCTGAACTAGTCAAGACAGTCAATTTCCTGTCACCAGTGGTTGGTTTGGGTAAACATGGGATGCTCTTGTGCTCAGTATCATATAAGGGGAACTCTGCTGGGTGTTTTTGGAAACATTCTTTCTGTGGATGAAAAGATAATTGCAAGGTTGAAGGCTTTTGGACCTTCATTCCACAATGTCTCTTCAGATGTGGGTCTGTGTACAGTACACGGACCTCATCTCCACAAAAATATTTAAAAATTAGCTGGGTGTGGTGCTGTGCACTCTCAAGTCCCAGGAGGATTGCTTGAGCTCAGGAGTTCAAGGCTTCAGTGAGCTATGATCATACCATTGCACCATTGCACTCCAGCCTGGGCCGTAAAGCAAGATCCTATCTCCAAAATAAAAAATAAAAAGGACTTTAATCCAGTAATATGGATAACATATATTGGTGGTTAGATTAGGCATGTTGAGAAAAATTTGGATTCAGGATTTTGAAGTCTTTCCCTTTCAGGGAAGTGGGAAAATCTCAGTCTAATTGATCAAGCTTCTGTGGTCATGGCACATTACTAGTCTTCACAAAGTCCCTCTTTTTCATTTTATTCTTTTTTCCTTATCTGACCTCAGTCTTTCTTACTCCTCCCCAGTATACACATGCTTCTATTCTATTTGATATATTCCTCAGAATACATATAATACATTTTATTAATTGTTTAATATGTAGTCTTTATGATAAGATACTTTAATTTTACATAAATGGTTATGATACTTTTCAGTGGTCCTGAACTGTAGCATATATCATAATTATCTGGAGGACTTGTGCAAACACAGATTGCTGGGCCCCAACTCTGTTTCTGATTCATTAGATCTGGAGTAGAGCCTGGCAGTATACTAACAAGTTCCTAGGTGATGCTCATGCGCCACACTTTGAGATGAATGTGACTATACTTTGAGAACCACTGTTGTATCAACTAATTGGAAAAGGAAAACAACATGATCATTTTAACAGATACAGAAAAAACACTGGACAAAATTTAGCACCAAGTCATGATACGTAACTCAGAAATAGTGAGACTCTTCCTCAGTCTGATAAAGACACTTATATTGCATTTAGTAGTGTCTCCTTAGTCTTTTCTGATATGAAATAGTTCTTAATTCTTTCTTTACCTTTCATGACCTTACACTTGTACAATATCTGTCAGTTTGGGTGTGTATGATGTTTTTTCATGATTAGATTGAGGTTATGTACTTTTGTCAAGATTACCACAGAAGTGATGTGTCCTATTTATTAGCACATGATATCAAGGAGTATGTGACGTCAATATATTTTATCATTGGTGATGTTAACCTTGATTGCTTTAACATGGTGTCTACAGTGTTTCTTACTAATAGTATTTCCATTAATATTTTTCTGTTTGTACTGGTAAATTTTTTGAGAGATGCTCTAAAATGGTGATAATACTCTTTTTCTCCAATATGTTCACTCATCTTGCCTGGAACAATTACTTCTGTGGGGTTTGCCTGATGGTGATTTTGTATTTCCTTTACCCTTTCTTTATTTAGTAATTGACATTCTTTTTTAAAGGAAAAACTGTCCTTTCTTGTTTCTTTTCTTTTCTTTTTTTTTTTTTTTTGAGTTGGTGTCTCACTCTGTCACTCAGACTGGAGTGCAGTGGCCGCTCCTGGCCACCGCAGCCTCAAGCTGCTGGGCTCTGGCGATCCTTCCGCCTCAGCCTTCCAAGTAGCTGGAACTACAGGCACGTGCTACCATGCCCGGCTAATTTTTGATTTTTTATTATAGAGATGAGGTCTCGCCAAGTTGCCCAGGCGGGTCGCAAACCTGTGGGCTCAGGCAATCCATTCACCTCCACCTCCCAAAGCGCTGGGATTACAGGCTGAACCACCGAGCCCAGCCATCTTGTTTATTTTCTTAAATCACTATGGACCCATGGATATTTTCCCTATGCATTGTATTCCAGTGCTATCATTTTTTAATTTTGCTCAAATTTTTTCAGCTTTAGCCATTGGGAGTTTCTATGCTTGGCTCCTGTGTCCCTTTGACATGCTTCCTCATTTTGTGAGCACTCTTAAAACATTTTCTTGCATCACAAGATGTTTCAGACTCATCTTATATTTTTCCTGCTCTAACCCTGTAATTAACCACTTCTCCACAGAGTCCTCGTTCCTGTTGGTGAGGAACAATGTTCAGAAAACAAGATCTGAAGGCTAGGCATGCACATGGCTACTTTTGCAAAGGGGGGAACGGTGCATGAGCTCTTTGGTCATAGGCTGTCACAGCAGAGAACACTAGCAAATATGTGTACCAACCCACACATACACTCACATTTTTGTTTACTTCTGTATCTGTGTATAAAAACATAAATTTGTATGGTACCTCTGTCTCCAGTCCAACGTCATAAGATTTATTCTAACCTTACTCCTCTTCTGGCTCTCACTATACAAAATAATCACTTGTCTGATCAATCCAAGTATACCCATTAAATAGGTACATAATAACTAACTCATATCCATGTGAAAACAGATTTACTAACTAGAGTACAGTATTTGTGTACATTTCTTTAGCCTTGTAATATGCAAAATGCTGATTTCCAAAGTTACTGTGAGTTAGTTCTTTTCTCCCCCATCCCTTTATTTGTTATGTTGTTATATATTTGTAATACAATTAGGTTTGTTTGTTACTCTTTATATTTCCTTTTAGGTTTCTTCCACATTCTGGTTGATTTAACTGCTTATTTTGGGGAGCACATGTATATTGTTATGGTTCTACAGGTCAAATCTATACAAAAAGATATACTCAGAGAAGCATCACTCCTTCCTTATTCCTACTAGCCTGTTCCCAGGGTCTGCTTCTTCTCACCCCTTTCCTCTGTACCCCCGTAGCTAATTAATCTCTTTAGTTTCTGATTTATCCTTCTTGTATTTCTTATATATAAAGTAGATACATGTGTATTTCATATTTCCTTTTCTTTATTATAAAAAGGGTAGTATATTATATATATTCCTGTACTTTGCTTTTCTTTACCTAAACGTATATCCTGGACATCATTCCAGATCAGTTCATAGTGCTTCATTGTGTGAGCATATCATAATTTAGCCTTTCTTCTGTGTGTGGTCATTTAGTTGTTCCCAATACTTTGCTATTATAAACAATGTTGCAACCTTGTGCAAATATTTTTTCATATAGTTGGAAATGTGTCTTTGGGGTTGGTTTCTAGACATGGGTCAAAAGTTAGGTAAATGTGTAGTTTTGTCAGTTTTTGCCCAATCATTTTTGACTACTTAAGTTTTTTTCATTTTTATATGGTAAAATTTATCCATTTTAAAAATTCCTTCTGGATTTTAAGTCATTAATTATAAGTTTTTTACTTGCATTAAGGCTAATAACTCACCCATATTTTCTTCTAGAACCTGTGTGTTTTTTGTTTGTCATGTCTTTTTTTACATTTAGATCCCTCATCTATTTGTTGTCTTTTGTGTGAGATGTGGATCTAATGTTATCTTTTTTTTGAAATGGCAACTCGTTGTCCCAGAGCTGTTTATTTAAAAATCCGTCACCCCTGTGATTTGAGATGCCACCATTATTATATACCAAATTTTTATAGGTACTTGGGTCTGTATCTGTAATAATGTATTCCACTGGTATACTTATCTATATAAGTGCCAGTACCACTGTTTTGATTATAGATGCTTTATAGTATGTTTTAACATCTGGCAGGGATAGTCTTCTGTCATAATGGTTCCTCTTTTTAGTGTTTTCCTGGCTATTCTTGCATTTTCATTTTTCCATATTAATTTTAGTATCAACTTATCTATGTGAAATAGCTTGTTGGTATTTTAATTGCAATTATTTTGTAAATTAAGTTAGTGAGAACTGTAATATTTTAATGTTGATTTATCCTATCCAAGAACAGGCAATGTCTTTCCATTAGTTAGTTCATGTCTACTTTTATATATTTCAGGAGTGTTTTAAAATTTTCCTTGTATGGGTTTCACATATTTCTTGTTAAATTTATTTCTATGTATTTAAGCTTCTTTGTTACTATTAAAAATGGTGATTTCTCTACCATGGTGTTCTATTTATTGTTTCTGTCTAAAAGGGCTACTGTGTGTGTGTGTTTAGAGATGGGGTCTTGGTTATGTTGCCCAGGCTGGCCTGGAACTCATGGGCTCAAACGATCCTCCCACCTTAGCCTCCTGAGCTGGGACTACAGGTGCATGCTGCTGCACCAGACCTATTGGTTTTATATGTTAATTTTAGTCCTGCTTTACTGAATTATTTTATTATATGAGTTTTATCATTGATTTTCCTGGGGGTTTTCAAGTATACTATTATATCTGCAAATAGAGATAGTTTTATTTTTTCCTTACTCATTCTCAATCCTCTAATTCCTTTGGCTAATAGTACCCCACTACTGTGTTGAATAGAAGTGGAGATGGTGAATATTCTTGCCTTGTTCCGGATCTTAAAGGAAGTGTTCTAATGTTTCTCAAATAAAATACAGGTTTTAGGACTGAGCTATAGATGTTTGGGGGTTGCTTTGTCAGAGAGTTCTAGATATTTAGATAGAACATGGGAACAGGAATTAAGGAGAGATTTCTACAAAGGCTCCTCTTTATCAAATTCTAGGGCAATAAATATATCACATTCAAAAACTGGAAGATTTCATTTTTCAATTTGGAAATAGCAATGATTTGTGGTATTACAGCAGGTCATTTGAATTTATGTAAGTTGTTTTTATGCGTTATCAGGGTCACAAAGAAAATCTTATCCTTGAATTTGTCTTGTAGTGTGTGCTGTATTTATGGAGTTTAAAGATTAATCATCCCAAAACATTGTTTCTGCTTCGAGGAAATCATGAATGCAGGCATCTTACAGACTATTTCACCTTTAAACAGGAATGTAAGTATAATCACTTCTCAGAATCTTTTTGGTTATCCGTTAGCCTATCTCAGGGAATCAAATATAAAGAAAAAAAATCTAATGGAGCTTGAATTCTTACTATTCTGGTATTTGATTTTGTTTTTCTTGATAAGGAAAAAAGATTTCCATTTTTAAGACATTTTGAAAATAGCTTTTGGGTTTCCCCCTTGTTTATAAAATTTGGGATATTTGAAAAAATATAGAAAAGTCTAAAAAAGGTAAAAATTGTTCATAATTATATCACTTAGATATTCATAATTATATCACTTAGATAATCACTATTATCTCACTATTTGAGATATGGTCCTCTATTCTTTGTCTGAATATATATTAAACCTATTATGAAATAGTTCAAGTATATATATCTATATATACATTTAAAATAAAATTGGGCTTATAGTATGTGTACTGATTAATAAACTGCTTTTTTCATTTAACATACTAGCATTTTTCCATATCTTTAAATATTTTTGAAAACATAATTTTAGGCCGGACATGATGGCTCAAGCCTGTAATTCCAGCACTTTGGGAGACCTAGGTGAGAGGATTACTTGAGTCCAGGGGTTTGAGACCAACCTGGGTAACTTGGTGAGACCTTGTCTCTACAATACATAAAAAATGTAACTGGACATGGTAGCATGTGCCTGTAGTTCTAGCTATTTGGAAGGCTGAGGCAAATGGATTGCCTGAGCCTAGCAGGTCAAGGCTGCAGTGGCCGTGAGCGTGCCACTGCACTCTAGCCTGGGCGACGGAATGAGACTCCAACTCAAAAAAAAAGAAGAAAAAAATATATATGTATTCAGGTGTTGATAAATAGTATGAAAAAAAGCAGGGTATAAGGGTAAAATTAAGGTATTTAATTTAGAAAACAACCAGAGAAGAAAATCTCTGAAGAAATGACACAAATGAAGTAGGATGCCCATCTTGTAAGCATATCTGGGAAAAGAAGAAATAAATGCAAATGCCCTGAGACAGGACTTCCAAACATCCCATTATAGTCATCATCAAACTAAATGTTAGTTAAGTGCCAGTTATGAATACTTAGATGCTGGTCCAAGAAATCTATGAGGTTTTTGTTTTGTTTTTTTTTTGTTCTAGATATAGGGTCTTGCTATGCTACCCAGACTGGTCTAGAACTCCTAAGCTCAAGGAATCTTCCTGTCTCAACCTCCTGCATACATTGGTTTTTAATCAGCTAGTAACGTCTGACTTTCAAAATAATTCCATCTTTATATTAAACTTTTTTTATTGTTATAGTAGTAGTTACAATCAGAAACAACCTCATGTCTTACAGTTGTTACTAAATTGGCTGCATACATAACAGTGCATTCATAAGATGGAATACTTAAGAAACACTGTGGAATTAGACAAAGAAATTAGAGAATTAAGAGTAAGTAAGGGAAAAATAAAACTATCTCTATTTTCAGATAAAATAGTATACCTGAAAACCCCCAGAAAAACCAGTGATAAAAGTAACTCATATAATAAAAGAATTCAGTAAAGAAGCAGTACTAAAATTAATATATAAAACCAATTGGTCTGGCGTGGTAGCACGCACCTGTAGTTCCAGCTCAGAAGACTAAAGTGGGAGGATCATTTGAGTCCAGGAGTTCCAGGCCAGCCTGAATGTACCTCTCTGACTTTCTTTTCTGTGATCAGCTAGCTGGAGAAAACCCTAGCTCTTCTTTTAAAAGGTTCACTTTACTAGGTCAGGCAAGTTCAAGGTAATCACTCTTTTGCTGTATAATGGAACATAATCATAGGAGTCTCATCATATTTACAGTTTCCATCCACTCAAAGGGCAGTGGATTATACAGAGATGTAGGTCAATGCAGACCAGCCTGGGCAACAGAACAAGACCCCATCTCTACAAAAAAAAGTTTTTTAATTAGCTGATTTTAGTGTCATGAGCCTATAGCCCTAGATACTCAGTAGGCTGAAGCAGGAGGATCTCTTGTGTCCAGGAGTTCGAGGCTGCAGTAAGCTATGATTATGTCCCTGCACCCCAGCTTGGGTGACAGAGCAATACCCTGTCTCAAAAAAAAAAAAAAAAAGCAGAAACAAAAACAAACAAAAAAGAATGTTCCAGAGTCTTTGGAAAGTTTCTACTACTGGTAAATATTTTGTCTTACACTGTTTTTCTAAATCAGATATTACAGTATTCTCAACTTCTATTTCTTAATCAGGAAAAATTAAATAATGCTTGTATACAATTTAACAGAGGCCCTAGAATATGATGCTCAATAAAAGTCAATAATTTTTATTAATTAAGAGTAAATAAAGCCGGGCTCAGTGGCTCAGCCTGTAATCCCGCACCTTGGGAGGCTGAGGTGAGTGGATTGCCTGAGCCCGTGGGTTCGAGACTCGTCAGGGCAACTTGGTGAGACCTCATCTCTACAATAAATCAAAAAATTAGCCGGGTGTGGTAGCGCATGCCTGAAGTTCCAACTACTTGGAAGGCTGAGGCTCAAGGATCGCAGGAACCCAGCAGGTCGAGGCTGCGGTGGCTGGGAGCAGCCACTGCACTCCAGTCTGGGCGACAGAGTGAGACGCCAACTCAAAAAAAAAAAAAAAGTGTAGATATGTAATGAATAAAGCTGGCTCTGAAGACCTCTGTTATGAATTACTCTTAATTTCAGGTGTGTGTGTGTATTATTTTTTGGTGACATTTAATTCTGTCTTTGTTTTAACAGAGTTCTTTTTTTGACAAGTATAATGGGTTCAGACTATATTTAGAAGATGGAACAATAGGTTCTAGAAACATTTTTTCTTTTTTTGAGTCGGAGTCTTACTCTGTCACCCAGGCTGGAGTGCGATGGCATGCTCTCGGCCACTGCAGCCTCAACCTGCTGGGCTCCGGCGATCTTTCCGCGTCAGCCTTCCAAGTAGCTGGAACTACAGGCACATGCTACCACGCCTGGCTAATTTTTTGATTTGTTGTAGAGATGAGGTCTCGCCAAGTTGCCAAGGCGGGTCTCGAACCCGCGGGTTCAGGCAATCCACTCACTTCAGCCTCCTAAAGCGTGGGATTACAGGCTGAGCCACCAAGAAACATTTTTAAGTGTCTCATTTTGCTCAGAACTTCTTAGGTTTTTATTTGTTTTTCACATGCTTTAGCTGTAGTTAAACTTGGTAGCTTTCTTTTTCTACTACCTGCCAAGATACTCTTTCTGTTCTATCATAACACTGCATCTGAAATATAAATAAATCTTGGAACAAGCACACAGATTCAAGTATAATTTTAAAATTTTATTCCTATATAAAGAAAGAGTATGTATGCGTTTTGCATGGGTGTTTTTACTTATAAGCTGATCTCTCTTGAAGGGCCACTGTGACTTTTAGAATTAGCACCTTATAATTACTGCTTAGTTTCAGATTGTGCAGTTATAGTCTTGTTTTTAAGAGGGGGTGGAAGCTTTTCTTTGCTCATATCAATGCTTAAATTCCTTAAAATGCAGATATTCAAACTATTTCTTTCCTTTTTCATTCAAATTTAGGGATAGTTTGACAGCAGAAAAAGGTGTAACAGTTAATTTTTTAATAATTGACTGAACATGGTGGGTCATGCCTGTAATCCTAAAACTTTTGGAGGATTGCATGAGGGCAGGAGCTTGAGACAAGCCTGGGCAACATAGCAAGATCTCAACTCTGCGAAGAATCCAAAAATTAGCCAGGTTTGGGGGCACATACTTATAGTCTCAGCTACTCAGGAAGCTGAGGTAGAAGAATCGCCTGATCCCAGAAGATGGAGGCTGCTGTGAGCTGTGATCGTGCCACTGCATTCCAGTTTGGGTGACAGAGTGAGACTCCAACTCAGAAAAGAAAAGCTGACATAATAGTGGTACATATTTTTGGGGTACATGTGATATTTTGGTATATTTATACAAGCAATGTAGAATGATCAAATCTGGGCAGTAGGAGTAACTGTCACCTCAAACATTGATCTTTTCTTAGTCTAACTATTGTTGGTTTATGAAAGACAAGGTCTCAGGCTGTCACCTGGGCTGGAGTACAGTGACATGATCACGACTCACGGCAGCCTTGACCTCTTAGGCTGAGGTAATCCCATCTCCTCAGTTTCTCGAGTAACTGGGACTACAGGTGCACACCATCATGCCCGGCTAATTTTTTGATTTTTTTTTTTGATAGAGGCAGGGTCTCCCAGTGTTGCCCAGGCTGGTCTTGAATTCCTGGGCTCAAGCAGTCTTCCCACCTTGACCTCCCAAAGTGCTGGGGTTACAGGCATGAGCCACCATACTCAGCTGTAACAGCTCATTTTTGACATATCATTTGTTTTTACAAAAATATTTCTTTATTGTTATGTTATCTGGAAAGCAAAAAACCTAGTGCATTTTTTTTTTCTTCTATAGACTTCATCTGATAGAAAGAAATCTATTGTTTTTATGATTCTGTCTCATAGTTCTGGGTCCAAGTTTTTAAAGTAAATGAATTTATTTCATGAGCCATTTTTTGATGTGTAGTTAAACAATTTACTGACAAGTTCCAGAAACTCCTGTAATTTTACTAATGAAGACGGTACTATAATGACAAGTTGATTTAAAAAAAAAAAAATTGTTTGTCATTGTTCCTTGCAACATTATTTAGAATAGCAAAAGATTTGTCTGATTTGATTGTACATCCATAAAGTAAAGTACTATATAGATGTTTAAAAAATAACTCCAAAACACTTGTAGGAGAGGCAGAATTTTACCTTAACCCTCTTAGGGTTTTCAGCTGGGCCTGAGAATTAAATTGACAAAACATCAATAGGAGGAGAGCATACAAATTTATTTAATATAAATTCTACACTACACTGGAGTCTGTATAAGTAAATGAAGACATAGAGGATCAGAGTTACACATGTACATACTGAATTGGACAAAGAGTAGTAAATTGTGGAAAAGTCACTAGATGATGTGGGAAAGCTAGAAGATAAGAATTATTTGAATTTGGCGTCAGCTACCTGCCCTTGGTGATAACAGTGTTATTTTCTTTCCAGTATAGAGAGGGCATCATTGAAATGTGAATTTCATCTTCTGCTTTTAAGAAATAGCATGGCAGGGTGCAGTGACTCACGCCTATATTCCCAGCACTTTGGGAGGCTGAGGTGAGAGGATTGCCTTGGAGAGACCTCATCTCTACAATAAATCAAAAAATTAACCGGGCATGGTGGTGCGTGCCTGTAATTCCAGCCACTTGGAAGGCTGATGCAGAAGGATCACCTGAACCCAGCAGGTCGAGGCTGCAGTGGCTGTGAGCGTGCCACTGTACTCCAGCCGGTGACCAAGTGAGACTCCAACTCAAAAAAACCAAAACAAAACAAAGGAAAACAGCATGAGTGGTCATGGTGGTCCACGCTTGTTGTAATCACAGCTGATTGGGAGGCTGAGGCACGTGGATCACTTGAGTCCAGGAATTTGAGAGCAGATTGGGGCACATAGCGAGACTGTGTTTAAAAAAAGAAGAGTAGCATGAAGGTCAGAGTGATCTTCTAACCCCTGCTGTTTTTCAGGTGCTTTTAACTCCAAGTAATGTGCCAGAGTGGCATATTTTGAGATGGCTATTATCAGTTGCTTCACTCTTTATCATATGCAGATGTGGCATGATCTCTAAAATATGTTATTAAGTACAAAAAGCAACAGTATGCTACTATTTCTGTAAAAGACAAAAGGATATTTTGAAAAAAGAAGATAGAGGTCGGACATGGTGGCTCACACCTGTAATCCCAGTACTTTGGGAGGCAGAGGCGCGAGGACTGCCTGAGCGCAGGGGTTCGAGACCAGCCTGGGCAACTTGGCAAGACATCGTCTCTACAATAAATAAAAAAATTAACCGGGTGTGATGGCATGTGCCTGTGGTTCCAGCTACTTGGGAGGCTGAGACAAAGATCGCCTGAGCCCAGCAGGTTGACGCTGGGGTGGCCGTGAGTGTGCTACTGCATTCCAGCCTCAGTGAGAGAGTGAGACTCCGACTCAAAAAAAATAAAGAAATTTAAGGAAATGCAGCTAAATAACTAAAAAATATAAATGTCTTCAATCTAACCTCAGAAAACGAAATGATTATATTTATATATGCATATTCAAATGCTTTGAAAAAATAAAAATAGTACCATTTTGTAACCTTTTTTTCACATATTAATATAACATGAACTTCTTTTTGCACAATTTGATTTTTGACCTTCTGTTTTAATTTACACAATGGCTTAATATACTTTATTACTTGTTTTCTTCAGACTTGGCATCCTTTTTGGAAGTAGGCTAAGGAATTCTTTTGAGTCATTCTTAGGGTTGAAAGGCATTTTATCAATGTAAGATGCTATGGAGTATGAATTAATAAGTAATTTAAATTCTTGCCTACATTCAAGTGTGGGACTCTTATAAAGGAACTCCTCACTGATATTGGCAACAGGGATTTCTGGCTCCTAAGATTTTCAGGAGAAAAAGTCAATCACAGGCTACAAAACAAAGGGCTTTTTTGTTGTTTTTTTACTTCCAACATACTTTTTGGCCAATGCTGAATTTACTTCTAAAAGAATCAAAATTTGGCCAGGCTTGGTGTCTTAGCCTGTAATCTTGCGCTTTGGGAGGCCGAGGTGAGTGAATTGCCTGAGCCCGCGGGTTCGAGACCTGCCTGGGCAACTTGGCGAGACCTCATCTCTACAATAAATAAAAAACTAGCTGGGCACGTGGTAGCACGTGCCTGTAGTTCCAGCTACTAGGAAGGCTGAGACAGAAGGATCACTGGAACCCTGCAGGTCTAGGTTGCAGTGGCCGGGAGCGGCCACTGCACTCCAGTCTGGGCGACAGAGTGAGAATCCAACTCAAAAAAAAAAAAAAAAGAATCAAAATGTATCATGTTTAAATATAAAACAGAATATAAGGATGTAACAGTAAGGAGATAGAAGGTTGCATAGGACATGGCTCTGTTAACTTTGAGCTCAAAATAAAGTTAGCCTGTGTTGTGAACCGATGATCTTAACTATCATGGTAGTGTAAAATGTTCTGAAGTTTCAAAGAGATTCACAGACTTCCTTAATGAACTCAAACCCTGATCACCTGGTATTGATGGCAATAAAGAATCTTCACATTCAGGATGGAAGGTTTTATAATATCACCTCAAGTGTGGTCCACTGATTTATACCTTTCCCTTGGGGATCTCTCTCTCTAATCATTCCTGCCACCCATATACGACTGCACTCTGGCTCCAGTCTGAACCCATCATCCCTCACCTTATTCCCCAAAGCTTCACCAAGACCAGACTCTGATAGTGAAACATATCTTTTCTAAAGGCTTGGAGATTACGAAAAGGAATAAACACAGGACTAATTACCAACTAGATAATCTGAGTCACATCATTTAGCTTTGTTCTCTTCATCTTGTAGGCCGCCTCATCTCCCCAGATCTTGGAAGAGAAGAAGTTGTAGGGCTGCCTGTCTGTGTGGCTTCTGACCTTCTTTACCAGCACACCCCCCAAACATAGCTTGACTTTTTGAAACCAAGGCCAAGAAAGAAGAAAATGTTCCTTTTCTCTTTGAACTAAAGCCCATTTTCCAATTTCCCATGTATTATTTCATGACTTTTCCTTTTTGGAGAATTGTGAAGATCCCATCTTCCGCCCACTGGAGTATTTCCTTATTTTGTAACCCCCAAGTTGACAGCCACATTAAAATATAATTTATTAAGCCAAGGTTTTTTTTTTTTTTTTTTTACAAAGGTATATTTATTAAAGAGAAGATACATTGTCAACGGCACAACAGGCAGGACAGCAGTGAGAGTGTCTGCTGTTTGCTCATGTTTATTTTTTAATTTTTATTTTTTATAGAGACACGGTCTCACTTTGTCACCCAGGCTGGAGTGCTGTGGCATAATCATGATTTACTTTAGCCTTGAACTCCTTGTCTCAAGGGATCCTTCTGCCTCAGCCTCCTGAGTAGCTAAGAATGCAGGCCTGTGCCACCACACCTGGCTAATTTTTTTTTTTTTTTGTAAAGATAGCATCTCACTGTGTTGCCCAGGCTGGTCTTGAACTCCTGGCCTCAAGTGATTCTCCCACCTCAGCCTCCCAAAGTGCTGGGATTGCAAGGATGTGCCACTGCACTCAGCTTAAGCCAAACATTTTTACATGAGATAGAATCAGGATATAATTTGCTTACAGACCCTAAAAATCATGAACAAAATGATTACTGACATTTTATTCATGCCTCTTTTTTTTGAGTTGGAGTCTCACTCTGTTGCCCAGGCTGGAGTGTAGTGGCATGCTCATGGCCACTGCAGCCTTGACCTGCTGGGTTCAGGCAATCCTTCTGAGTAGCTGAAACTACAGGCGTGTGCCACCATGCCCAGCTAATTTTTTGATTTATTGTAGAGATGAGGTCTCACCAAGTTACCCAGGCTGGTCTCAAACCCGTGGGCTCAGGCAATCCTTTTGCCTCAGCCTCCCAAAATGCTGAGATTACAGGCGTGAGCCACTGTGCCTGGCTATTCATGTCTCTTAAGACTCCAGTTTCTACTTGTATATATCTTCAACACCCTCAAAGGATCTTTTCAGACCTAATGAAACTTTCCAACTCACAAGACTACTGAGGACTATACTTGGCATCCATCTACTTAGCAGGTTACAGGTCAGAAAGGGCAGCACCGGCATTCCTTTTCGGTGCAGTAGATGCATACAGCAATCCAGAGGTGTCCTGCCTCTCTTGCGTCCCTTCACCTACCCACCAGCTCAGGTGCAAGGAAACGGTATTCATACTGGACAAATTAGGGAGCCACCCTGGCTTAGAATTCTCATGCATCAAAAGTCTCAATATGTCATATAAAAGCTTTATTGGCATAGCTTCCAGGGTCTCTCAAAGGATGTACCCAATTATGAGTCAGTGTCATCAGAGGAGCCCAAAGCTATAGTTTCCTACCAGGTAATTGGATAATTTTTATCATAAGCAGTGTTGCCTAATAACACAACTGTCTGGTACCTTATCAGGTTTCCAGGGCAACAGAGCTAGAAGTAAATCCAAGGTCACACTTGCCTGTAAGAGGACAGAGGATTTATTAACCCTTTATCCACAACTTATCAAAAATACCTTTACAAAGATGATTTTATTTTCAAATTTACCTGAAGTAAATGGCTTTGAAATAGCTTCACCTTCTCCTGACCTGTGTTATTTTTCAAATATGAAACATTTTAGCTTTTCCTCCTTTGACTATTTTTCCTTTTTTGGTAGGTCGAATCAAATATTCTGAACAGGTATATGATGCATGTATGGACACATTTGACTGTCTTCCTCTTGCTGCCCTCTTAAACCAGCAGTTTCTCTGTGTACATGGAGGAATGTCACCTGAAATTACTTGTTTAGATGATATAAGGAAAGTAAGTAATATTTTATTATTCTCATAGAGTATATTTTTAAAATTTGTTTTTATTGCAGTTGACCAATATATTTTTAGCTGAAATCTTTAAAATACAGATAATCAAAAGTAAGAAATAGAAATTATCTTCAATTTCACCATTGTGAGATAATAGCTGTTAACATTTTGATATATTTCTACTATAAATTTTCTGTAATTTTAAAAATGAAATATTTGCTTTTACCAACTAGAAACCTAACATTTTTAGTGTAGCTCTGCAACTTTAAATTATGTCACAAGATTCTAATCTCAGCCCTGCCTTTAATCGTGAAGCCTTGACCAAATCACTGAACTTGTTAGTCACATTTTTTTCTCCGTGAAATGAGGAAGTTGGAATGAATGGTGTGAGGAGTCTGCTGGCTCTGAAATTCATTGACATTAACATTTTAGATGTTACAGTTTAATTGCTATACTTGTCTTACTTGGTGATTATTATTTCTAAGATTCTGTATCTCCATGACTGAAAAAAGGTGACCAATCTTTTTCACTTACATTGTCCTACATGAATCATCTTCCCTTTTCTATCTTTGTATTCTCTTACTTCTCTCTGGTGGGTACTGAAACTAAATATTTTTCTGTTCAGAAAATGGTTTTCTCTGAGTTAAAATCAGTTTCCTTGGAGTAAGAGGGTATATCTATATGCGCTGGCTTTTTTCCTGCCTTATTGTCTTTTTAAATAACTAGCTTTTCTCTTTTATTTAGTCCATTTTGAATTTTATAATTCTGAATCAAATGTATTAATAAAAAACTTGTCTTTCACTCAATAGAAATTCTCTTCTTGGAACTCAGATATTATTCGTTTTCTTTCGGGTTTTATGCTTTTAACAAAAAAGCAGCACTGACTGAAGACTTGGTTGGTAACTTATATTGAAATACCTCAACTGCATAGATTGGCAAGGATAAATGCCCTTGCAAAACTAGCATTCTTTAAAATAAAGAACGCTCTATAGGAATGAGGTTAGCAATGAACAGAAGTATTGTAAAATCTTCCTACTTTCATGGTCACATTGGTTCACCTAGATAATTAAAATTAACTTTACTTAGTGTTTTTAAAATCATATCTCTCTATAGTGGAAGATTTCACATTTGAATTAAATAAGTACTACTTTAAGAGTAGAATATAAAAGGGTTCTTTTTTGCAGCGTGATTAGGTGGCAGGGATAATTGTAAAAATGTATTACAGAAGAATAAAAAATTGTGCATCTAAATTTGTTAAATGTTCCTTTTCTTGCAGGGAAATCCTTTGGGGGCTTACTGCCTTTGCTATTAATATATTGTTGTGGGTGAAATTTTTTTTTTTTTTTTTTACACATACCAGTTTCCAAGAGCCTTTTGCTTTCCTGATTTTTTTATTTGGCTTTTGTGTGTCTTCTAGTTAGACAGGTTTACTGAACCTCCCGCCTTTGGTCCAGTGTGTGACCTGCTTTGGTCTGATCCCTCAGAGGATTATGGCAATGAAAAGACCTTGGAGCACTATACCCACAACACTGTCCGAGGGTGCTCTTATTTTTACAGGTAAGCTGAACCTTAAAGTAGAAAATTATGAAAGGAAACTGTAATACACTTTACCAAATTATTTTTAAACATTTTATATCTCAAACATACGTAGTATAGGCACTTCTGTTTAATTTTTTAGTTACTAGAAGGCAAGAAACCCTTGTTTGCTTGGTTGATTTTTTTTTTTGAGTTGGAGTCTCACTCTGTTACCCAGACTGGAGTGCAGTGGCTGCTCCCGGCCACCACAGTCTCCACCTGCTGGGCTCCAGCGATCCTTCTGCCTCAGCCTTCCGAATAGCCAGAATTACAGGCATGTGCTACCACGCCCGGCTGATTTTTTGATTTATTGTAGAGATGAGGTCTCGCCAAGTTGCCCAGGCAGGTCTTGAACTCGCGGGCTCAGGCAATCCACTCACCTCAGCCTACCAAAGCACGGGATTACAGGCTGAGCCACCGAGCCCGGCTGCTTGGTTGATTTTTAAAACCTATTTTTTAAAATGTATTATGCCTTAAGGAATGTAATACACCAAATATGATTGAACATCCTGTAGTGCTTTGATATTGTTGTCTGACTGTAAATGATCTAGACTATTTGCTCCTAAATATCACCTATATACTTTTTTAAAAAAAATAAAATAAAAATTTGTTGACTCTTTCCCCAGAGATTCTGATTCACTAGATCTGAGGCAGAGGAATCCTGTTATGTTGCAAAAGTTCTCCAGCTTTTGGAACCTCTGGTATAGACAAAGATATAAAAAGACCAGGACATTGTGAACTAGGCCCAGAACATTTCCTGGAAGTTGACTGTTGTTTTAAATTTCACATGTGAACTTTCATTGTGATTTGACTCTCAAAAATAGGAAGATATAGGAAGCTGGAAATAAAATTATTTTTAATCTCAGTGTTTTATTGTGATGAATAGTGCATGCATTTAGTCCCCTAAACATCTCGTAATTGGTTAAGAGAATGCATTCACTAAATGAAATAAATAACACACATAAAATTTTGCCATTAGTTTTAGTGTTCTCTAAACAACCTTTTTTCATTTCTTCATGCCAATTTTTTCAGTGACTAATATGATGAAATCATTTACTTTTGTTTTTGCATTTCTATGTACTGATACTTTATTTAATATATATTGTTGATTAACTAACACTAAACTCATAGCCAGCAACACTCTAACTCATGCCTGAACAACACTTATATTTAACACTTGCATTATATTTAAGTATAATTTGCATTACATTTAAGTACATTTAAGTCTTTGATCCATTTTGAGTTGGTTTTTGTATATAGTGTGAGAATGGTCCAGTTTCATACAGTTTTCTCAGCACCATTTACTGAAAAGAATATTCTTTCCCCATTGTATGTTCTTGGCACCCTGTAAATATGTGGGTTTAGTTCTGGATGCTCTGTTCTGTTCCAATGTTCTATATGTCTATGTTTATTCCAGAACTATACTGTTTTTTATTGCTATTCCTTTGTCTTATATATATATATATTTTTTTATTTATTTATTTATTTTTTTTTGAGTTGTAGTCTCACTCTGTCACCCAGAGTGGAGTGCAGTGGCCGCTCCCGGCCACCACAGCCTCGACCGGCTGGGCTCCGGTGATCCTTCTGCCTCAACCTTCCAAATCACTGGAACTACAGGCGCACGCTACCACAACTGGCTAATTTTTAAAAATTTATTGTAGAGATGAGGTCTCACCAAGTTGCCCAGGTGGGTCTCGAATCCTCGAGCTCAGGCAATTCGCTCACCTCAGCCTCCGAGGTGCGGGATTACAGGCTGAGCCACCGAGCCCGGCTTGTAATATATTTTGAAATCAGGAAGTGTGATGCTTCCAGCTTTTTTCTTGCTGAGATTACTTTGGCTGTTTGGTGTCTGGTAGTTCCAGGTGAATTTCTGGATTTTTTTCCTATTTCTGTAAAGAATGACATTGAGATTTTGGTAGAGATTGCATTACCTCTGTAGATCACATTGGATAGTATGAACATTTTCACAATATCTTTTCAGTCCATCAGTGTGGATACTTTTCTGTTAGTGTCTTTAATTTCCTTCATCAAGACTTTGTAATTTTCATTGCATAAGCCTTTCACCTCTTTGGTTAAATTTATTCCTAAGTATTTGATCATTTTTGTTGCTATTATAAATGGGATTGTTTTCTTAATTTCCTTTTTGATAGTTAATTGTATATAGAGACACCACAGATTTTTTATGTTGGTTTTGTATCTCGCAACTTTTCTGAATTTGTGTATTAGTTATATTTTTGTTTAATCTTTAGGGGTTTCTACTGTAGATGATTATGTCATCTGTAAATAGAGATAGTTTTACTTCTTCCTTTCTGATTTGGATGTCTTTTATTTCCTTTTCTAGTCTAATTGCTCTGGCTAGGACTTCTAGTCCCATGTTGAATAGAAGTAGTGAGAGTGAGCATCATTGCATTGTACCAGATCTTAGATGAAGAGCTTTCAGTCTTTCCCCATTGATTATGATGTTAGCTGTGGGCTTTTCATATACGATCTTTATTGTGTTAAGTTCCTTCTATGCCTGTTTTATTGAGAATTTTTATATCATGCATGGATGTTAAATTTTGCCATACTTTTTTTCTATATCTATTGAGATAATCATGTGACCTTTATATTTTATTCTGTTAAATGCGGTATCTCATTGATTCATTTGTGTATACTGACCTATTATACTATGTTATAATCCTTTTAGTATTTTATTGAGGATTTTTAAATCTATATTTATCAGGGATGTTAACCTTTACTTTCTTTTGTTCGTTTGTTCGTTCGGGTCTCTCAGTCACCCAGATGGGAATAAACTGGCATGATCATGGCTCACCACAGCATCAACTTCCTGGGTTCAGGCGATCCTTCCACCTCAGCCTCCCAAGTAACTGGGACTATAGGTGTGCACCACCACACCTGGCTAATTTTTTGTAGCGACAAGGTCTGCTGTGTTGCCCAGGATGATCTCAAACTCCTGCTATCAAGCAGTCCTCCCACCTCAGCCTCTCAGAGTTTTGGGATTATAGGCATGAGCCACTGCACCTGGCCTACTTTTGCTGTGGTATCTTTGTCAGGCTTTGGTATCAGGGTGAAGCTGGCCTCATAAAATGAGTTTGGAAGAATTCCCTCTTTTATTTTTTGGAAGAGTTTAAGAAAGATTGGTATTAATTCTTTGTTTGATAGAATTCACTCATGAAACCCTCTGGTCCTGAGCTTTTCTTTCTTGGGAGGTGTTTGATTACTGATTCAGTCTCCATATTTGTTATCAACCTGTTCAGGCTTTTTTATTTTTTGAGTTGAAGTCTCACTCTGTTGTCCAGGCTGTAGTATAGTGTCATGATCATGGCCACCGCAGCCTCGACCTGCTGGACTCAGGCAATCCTCTGCCTCAGCCTTTTAAGTAGTTGTGACTATAGGTGTGTACTGGCATGCCCAGCTAATTTTATTTATTTATTTATTCATTCATTTATTCATTTTTAATTGTAGAGACAAGATCTCACCATGTTGCTGGTCTCAAACTTCTGAGCTCAGGCAGTCTTCTTGCCTTGGCCTCCCAAAGTGCTGTAATTACAGACGTGAACCACTGCACCCACCCCTGTTTAGGCTTTTTATTTCTTCTTGATTCAGTTTTGGTAGGTTATATATTTCTAGGAATCTGTTTCTTGGTGTATAATTGTTCATTATAGTCCATTATGATCCTTTTTATTTCTGAGGTATCCATTGTAATGTCTCCTCTTTCATTTTTTATTTTATTTATTTGGGTCTCTCCTTTTTTTGTAATCTAGTTAAGGGTTTGTCAATTTTACTTTTTCAAAAACCCAATTCTTAGTTTTATAGATTTGTTTATATTGTCTTGTTTTACTGTTCTCTTTTTGATTTATTTCTGCCCTATGCTTTATTATTTCCTTTCTTCTGCTAACTTTGGGCTTATTTTATTCTTCCTTTTCTTGTTTTTTGAGGTGTAAAGTTAGGTTGTTTATTTGAGACCTTTCTTTTTTAACCTAGGCGTCTGTTGCCATAAACTTCCTTTAGTTTATATGCCAGTAAACAGTACAGCTTTTGCTGTATCCCATACATTTTAGTGTGTTATATTTTCATTTTATCTTGAAATTTTTAAAACTCCTTTTTGATTTTCTCTTTGACCCGGTGGTTGTTCCAGTATATGTTGCGTAGTTTCTACATATTTGTAAATTTTTCTATTTTCTTATAGTTATTGATTTCTAGTTTCATTCCATTGTGGTGGGAAAAGGAAAAGATACTTAGGGTGATTTAAATATTAAATTATTATTATTTTTGAGTGAGGTTCTTATTCTGTCACCCAGGCTGGAGTGCAGTGGCATGATCATGGCTCACCACGGCATTGACCTCCTGGGTTCAGGCGATCTTTCTGCCTCAGTCTCCCAAGTAGCTGGGACTACAGGCATGCATTGCCACACTTACCTAATTTTTTAATTTTTATTTCGGTAGAGATGAGGTATTACTACGTTGCCCAGGTCTGGACTCAAGCAATCCTCTCGCCTCGGCCTCCCAAAGAGCTGGGATTACAGGCATGAGCCACCACGTCTAGCCAAAATATTCTTAAAGTTTGAGACTTATTTTGTGATCTGTTATCTTAGAGAATATTCCACATGCAATTGTATTCTGCTATTGGATTAAAAATTATCCTAATATGTCTGTTAGGCCCATTTGGTCTATAGTGTTATTGAGTTCTGCTGCTTGCTTATTGATTTCTGACTGGATGATTTATGTTTTAGATACTGGTGTGCTGAAGTCTCCTACTATTATTTTATTACTGTTTATCCCTTCAAATCTGTTATTATTTTATATATTTAGGTGCTTTATGCTTTATGTTAGCGTACACATATTTTTATGATTGTTTTATCTTTCTGTTGAATTAGCCCTTTTATCATTGTATAATGACTTTGTCTCTTTTGACAGTTTCTGACTTAAAGTCTATTTGTCTGATAAAAGTATAGACACTTCTGCTCTCTTTTGATTATCACTTGCATGAAATATTTTTCTCCACCCCTTCACTTTCAGCCTGTGTGTGTCCTTAAATCTAAAGTGAGTCTTTTGTATCCCAACTGTATGTAGACTGCATATGGTTGGATCTGGTTTTTTACTCCTTCAGTCATACTGTGTCTTTTGATTGGAGAGTTAAAGTAATTATTGATAGACAAGGACTTACTATTGTCATTTTGTTGATTGTTTTTTGTTTTGTGGTTCTCTTGCTCCTCTCTTTTTCTCTTTATTTGCAATTTGATGATTTTTTTAAATGGTGAGGGAGTTGCCACTGTGCTTTTTTTTAAATGAGGTCTGAAACATTTTGTAGTTATAGCAGTTTATCTTAAGCTGAGAATATCTTAATTTCAATCACATACAGAAACTCTACACTTTATTCCCCCCGGCACAGTTTATATGATTCATGTCAGATTTTAATTTTTTCTACATTATGTTTTCGTTAACATATTTCTATGGTTATAGTTAGTCTTATTGCTTTTGTAATTCAGTAAGTTATATACCAGTTGTTTTGCTGTGTTGCCCAGACTTGTCTCGAACTCTTGGGATCAAGTGGATTTTCCTGCCTCATCCTCCTGAGTACCTGGGACTGTGGATGATTGCCACCACAATTACCTTTATACTAGCTTTTTATTTTATTTATTGATTCAGAGTCTCATTGTCATTGTCACTCAGACTGGAGTGCAGTGGTAAACCCATGGCCACCGCAGCCTCAACCTGCTTGACTCAGGTGATCCTTCTTCCTCAGCCTTGCAGGTAGCAGGAACTATAGGTGTGTGCCACCATGCCTGGCTAATTTTTTATTTATTGTAGAGATGAGGTCTCGCCAAATTGTCCAGGCTAGTCTTGAACCCCTGGACTCAGACACTCCTTTCACCTCTGCCCCCCAAAATGCTAGATTACAGGCATGAGCTGCTGTGCCCAGCCACCTTTATACTAGTTTTACAAGTGGTTTATGACTGGGTGCAGTGGCTCATGCCTATAATCCCAACCTGGATTACAGGCAACATAGCAAGACCTCGTTTCTGAAGGAAGGGAGGGAGGGAAAGAAGGAGGGAAGGAAAAGAGGGAAAGAAGGAGGGAGGGAGGGAGGAAGGAAGGGAAGAGAAAGGAAAGAAAGGAAGAAAGAGTGGCTTATGTGCTACCATTACAATATTACAGTATTTGTCTTAATGTTTCCCTTTAAAATGAAATTTATACTTTCTTTTTTTTTGAGTTGGAGTCTCACTCTTTCACCAAGACTGGAGTTCAGTGGCCTCTGCCGCCTCGCCTGCTGGGCTCCGGCGATCCTTCCACCTCAGCCTTCCAAGTAGCTGGAACTACAGGCGCGTACTACCATGCCCGGCTAATTTTTGATTTTTTGTTGTAGAGACGAGGTCTCGCCAAGTTGCCCAGGCGGGTCTCGAACCATGGGCTCAGGCGATCCACTCACCTCGGCCTCCCAAAGCGCTGGGATTACAGGCTAAGCCATTGAGCCTGGCCGAAATTTATACTTTCATATGCTTTTGTGTTGTTTGGCATCTTTTTATTTCAACTTTAAGAACTCCTTTAGCAGTTCTTATAAGGTCAGTCTAGTGGCGATAAATTCCCTCAGTTTTTGTTTGCCTGGCAAAGTCTTTAACTCCCCTTCATTTTTTTTTGAGTTGGAGTCTCATTCTGTTGCCCAGGCTGGAGTGCAATGACATGCTCATGGCCACCGCAACCTCGACCTGCTGAGTTCAGGCGATCCTTCCACCTCAACCTTCCAAGTAGTTGGAACTGCAGGCATGCGCCACCATGCCCAGCTTATTTTTTGATTTATTGTAGAGATGAGGTCTCACCAAGTTGCCCAGACTGGTCTCGAACCCATGAGCTCAGGCAATCCTCTCACCTCGGCCTCCCAAAGTGCTGAGATTATAGGCATGAACCACCACGCTTGGCACTCCCCTTTATTTTTAAAGTATAGTTTGCCAGGTAAAGTGTTTTTGGTTGACAGTGTTTTTTTCTTTTAGTACTTTGAATATATCATTCCATTCTTTCCTGGCCTATAAGGTTTTGTCTGAGAAATTCTCTATAGTCTTCTAGGAGCTCCCTTGTATCTATCTGACAAGTAGATTTTCTTTTGCTGCTTTCATTTTTTTTCTTTTGATAATTTTATTAGACTGATCTTGATGTTTTACTTATCTAGAGATCTTTGGACTTCATGAAATGAAATGTTTATTTCCCTCCCTATATTGGAAAGTTCTCAGCCATTATTTTTTTTAAAATAAGCTCTCTTCTCCATTTCTGTCTTTTTTCTCCTTCTTTAAATTCTATAATGCATATATTGTTTTTACTTGATGGTATCCCAGAATTTCTATATATTTTTTACACTCTTTTTCATTTTCTTTATTGTATTCCTTTACCTAGGTAATTGCAGATGACCTCTCTTCGAGTTTGCTGATTCTTTTCTTCTACATACCTGAGTCTGCTTTTAAGCTCTCTGTTGAGCTTTTCAGTTCAGTCATTGTGTTCATCAGCTTCAGGATTTCTTTTTGGTTCTTTTTTATGGTTTCTGTTTCTTTATTAAACATCTCATTTTATTCATGTATTGTTTTCCTGATTTCATTTAGTTATCTGTCTTCTCTTGAAGCTCATTGAGCTTCTTTAAGATGATTATTTTGAATTCTTTGTCATACAATTCATGGATCTCCATTTTTTTAGGGTCAGCTGCCAGAACTTTGTTAATTTTTTTTGGTGGTGTCATGTTTACCTGATTCTTCATGTAGCCTGCTTTAATTATTGTCTGTACATTAGAAGGAGGAGCCACCTCTTTACATTTTTATGGACTAGTTTAACCAGTAAAAAAAACCCTTCTGTTGAGTCCCTGGACTGATGAAATTGCCTGTATTATTGTGGTTGAGAAGGTCTGGAGCTGGATCATGGGGCTGCACTAGGGTTCACAGTCAGTGGGGTCTACTACCAGGGGCATGGACAAGTCTTCTTTCATGTTCCTGGGTAGGGAAGACTGCCTCTGGAACTCAATATGGTGGTACTTGAGCTGGGTCACAGGACTGGTTTAGGGTCGACTTAGGTCCAATTAGCAGCCCTGTTGCCAGGGAAATGGACAGATGTACCTCCCACCAGGTTCCTGGAAAGGCATACTGCTACTGGACCATAGTAGAGTGGGGCTGGAGCCAGGTCACAGTGCTTCTTTGGTTTCACAGCTGGGTCTTGTTGGAGGGGTCCATTACCAGGGACAGTAACAGGCATGGCTCCTCTCAGGTCCCTAGACTGATGGGGTTGGTGGCAGGACTGTAGACAAGTGGAACTGGTACCAAATCTACAAGGGATGGGCTGATTCTGAGTCTGCAGCTGGCATCAGGGTCAGTGGGTTTGCCTTCTCAAAGCTACCTTAGTCATGGGTTTCACCAAGATTTCATAGCCACCTGCCTCAATCCCAAGGTTCTCACAAAGGCAGTTAGGTTCATGAATGGCTGACAAATTTTTGTTTCTGTTGGGGGACAAGAGCTGGAGACATTCTATTTTGCCGTCTTGCTTATATCACCTACAATCTGTTTTAAAAGCAAATTTTTCATAACGAGCGTAATGGGAAACAAAGAATTTAAAAATAAAATAAATGACATCTGGGTAAATCCAGGCTAATTTTGTATTCTGTAATTCTTTCTATCAGATTATTTGTCATTTAGAGAGGTAATGGTACTAAAAGAATATTTTTGGAGTATATGCAAATATCATATCTTGTTAGTTGTGGTTGGTTAAAATATTCACATCTACTCCCAAAAATATTCCTGTATCATATTGTTTTGGTATTTATTACCTGTGAAGCTATAAATGAGTTCTTTTACTTTTCTAACAATTTGATAACTTGATGTTGGAAGAAAATTGTGTGTTCAGTTTTAGCATGTATTATACACACATAAACACAATATCATACTTTTTTATATCAATCTTCTGGGAAAATTTTTATTGTGTTGTTGTTATGAGTTGAAACAAACAAAAAAGGTGAAGGAACTCTTTATAATTTAGAGATGTCTGTTATTTTCATACTTGGTCTGTAACGAGGTATATCAGTGAAATAGAAAAACAGAATGATAATTACTAAGGTATTAATAAAATTTCAGTGGTATATAAAACCTGTAATCTTTTTTTTTTTTTTTTGAGTTGGAGTCTCACTCTGTCACCCAGACTGGGGTGCAGTAGCCACTCCTGGCCACCGCCGCCTCGACCTGCTGGGCTCTGGCGATCTTTCCGCCTCAGCCTTCCAAGTAGCTGGAACTACAGGCGTGTGCTACCACACCCGGCTAATTTTTTTATTTTATTGTAGAGATGAGGTCTTGCCAAGTTGCCCAGGTGGGTCTCGAACCCACAGGCTCAGGCAGTCCATTCACCTCAGCCTCCCAAAGCGCGGGATTACAGGCTGAGCCACTGAGCCCAGCACCTGTAATCTTCAAACAACTCAAATTATCTGGACATTTCCTCTTCTTCCTATTAAAAAATAATTGTTTCAATTCTGGATTTATGTTTTCTAATTGTCTTTTTCAGTTACCCTGCAGTTTGTGAATTTTTGCAGAACAATAACTTATTATCGATTATCAGAGCACATGAAGCCCAAGATGCTGGGTAAGTTTTGTTAAAATTGTACCAAACCAAATATCACTGCAGTCTTTATGTGTAATATGAAGACAGATGGGCTGTTATCTCTCTTCCAGGTATCGAATGTACAGGAAGAGCCAAACAACAGGCTTTCCATCACTTATTACAATTTTCTCTGCCCCCAATTACCTAGATGTCTATAACAATAAAGGTAAAGGAGTCCAGCAATATTTGACTTTGAATTTGTGAGTAATTGTGAGCTTTTGTTTAATTATATATGTATGTGTGTATTATTTTAAAATGTAAATTTTAAATAAGAAGAAAAGAGCTCTTAGGTGAAACAAAGACCAAGAAATTTAGAATTTGTGCTGCTACTTGGTCTTTATATCCTAAGGAGTATTGGGCTCTTTGTGAGCATAAATTATGATTATAGTAGGTCAGATTTGTACTACTGAATCAAAATATATGAAGAATTAATTGCTTAAGACATATTAGAACAGTTAGCATAAATTATTAGTTTTGGTTAGTTTGTTTATAACAATACATTAAAAAGTCACCACTGGCATTTTAATGTTTGTAAGTTGCTGTTTTTGCTCTCTTGAGATATGGCATAGGTAGAGTGAATAGTGTACAAAAAGTCAGAAAAAAATCGTTTTAGTTGAAGCCCTGTCAGAAACTAACAGTGTGACTTTGAGTAAGTCAGTCTTTCTAAACTTCAATTTCCTGTATTAAAAAAAAGAGGAATGAATATGCACATGCCTTTTGTTTCAGACATTCTATTTCTAAGACATTATCCTGTTAAAGTCTTTTTTAAAATTTGAAACTTAGGTGATTCATAGTTCATAAGTTTTCTGTCAAGGCAGTGGTCCCACCAAAAAAATTCATGTCTCTATAATAATTTTGTTGTTTATAAAGTATGACTATAAAATAATACAACTATATAATAATAGCAAACATGCCAGAACGAATATATCCAAATGAGTATTGTCCCTTCAGAGCAGTTACCTTGTGAGGCTATCCACATATTCCAACAGTGCTGTCCTTGTTCAGAACATTTTTGGAACTCCTCTTTTGGCACTGCCTTCAGAGTCTGCGACACATTCTTTTGATTATCCTCAATGATGGGAAATCTTCGTCCTTTGAGGGTGGATTTGATTTTTGGACAGCCAAAAGTCATTTGGAGTCAAGACTGATAAATGAGGTGAGTGATCAAGCTAGATGATAACATTTGGGGTCAGAAACAAGGTATGATTATAAGATAATGAGACTGGTTTTTCTCGTGTTGCTGATACAATGGCTCTGGAGGCACTTCCAAAAGAGGAGTTCCAAAAGTGTTTTGAGTAATGGCAGCATCTCTGGATTAATTATATGGTAAGGCAGCAAGTCGTGTTGAAAAGAGCACACAATGAGGAGTCAGAATTCTTAGTCTAATCCTGCTTTACTTTGATGTGTGTCACATTTAACAGTTTATCTTTAAAATATCTGTCATCTAGGGGTGTTGAAGATAAATTAGAATAATGAAAATAAATATTAAAGCATTGTCCAAAGTATAAACTGCTGTAATACTATAACTTTTTACTGTTATTGTGCCTGATGTGATGATATCTAAGGACCACACTCATCTGATATAAAGATCTGGTGTGTTTGTTGTTGGTGGTTTCTTAAGTCTCATTACTTTATAGTCATACCTTGTACTATGTAGTTGGGGAGAGAAGCTTCGAAGAGGACCAAAATATACCTCATTTATTCCATTTAAAAGTAAACTATGGAATTGCACATTTTATTTAAACCTGATTTGGTTCAGTCATTTCAGTTACTTGTCCACTTTCAAAAGACATTTCTTTGGCTTTAGTTGTCTCCTAGCCAATATTTCGTTTTTATTTCTTATCATTCTTCTCTGAATCTTAGCTATCTCACAGTACTTTGCTTCTCCCTAGGTTTTTTTATTATTTCCTTTTTTCTAATATTTCCAACATATTAACAAGTTACTTTTATTCTTTTTTCCTCCCTTAGCAATGGTATACACTTGTATTGGTATACTTGTGTTGTTATGTGTCTTCAGAGACACTCAGCGGCCCTAGACTTCATGTTTGTAATGCAGACTTTCCCTTCTTATTTCTTTTTTAAACTTAATTACTAAAAGTACCTGTTGATTGTCCAGTGGATTTCTCAGTGTGCTAAACTGAAACATGCTACTTAGATCACCAACCACTATACAGTTTAATTTTTGTCCCATTCTAATCTGATTTTGTTCTTGATTATTCATTTAGTAAACTTTTAAAGTCACAATCCATTCTACTGAGTTTTCTGTTCACTTTGACATAATTGGTAACTGTATCTCAAAATGATCTTATTTTCTTTGGTTGTTTCTTAAGCATTTTCTAAGGAAGAAGCTAGAAAATGCGGCATCTGAAGCCACCTCTATTGGTATTAAAATTATTCCCCATACAAGCACCTTCTGTTTTGAAAAAGGCAATTCTGTTGCCCTTTTTCTTCGTCTCTTTCTTCTAATGTTGCTTTTCTTTCATATTCCTTAGGCTTCTTGGTATATGCAGATATTTCTTAGTTCCATTGGTTGCATGAAAGACCCTTAAGTCATGATTTTTAAAGATTCTTATTTATGTTTTTTTTTTCTGTCCACTGAGAACATAGCCAAAAGCAGTCTTTTAAGCTCTTATTTCTAATCATCCACTATTGAAACCCACCTGCCACTTCTTTTTCCTGTGTAGATTGAGGGAGTTGTTGAATAATAATATATGATATATTCATCTAACCTAAATAAAATACATGTACGTGAAAATAGTGAGACATGTACATTGTAGCCAGCATTAAGCTTTTAAGGACTGGAGATTCTATTTTTGTGTATTATCTTTATAACCTGTGGTGTACATTTTAGATATTCAATAGCTTAAATTTTGAGTATACTGCATTATCCTGTGACAAAGAAATAGGAACTAGGATGTGACCTATATCTGTCATTTCTAGAGAACTGTTATAACCCTATTCTATTTTATGACCACTGTAAGAATAATTAAGAGAATGGTACAAACAACCTTGCTGGTGATAAAGACTAAGAAATTGGAGTTTAAGACTTTTAAAATATAAAGAAAATCAGTTTGACATCAAAGTATCTGCAATTATATGAACTGGTTAATATTAAGCATTTACAGCATGGTGGCAATATCCTGACTGTGTATAGGAGAAAAAAATAATTTTAAACCCACTCTATTGTATGCAGAGATTATTTAATCTACTTTTGAACTTGAATTGTAAATTGCTCGAAGTTTGTATTCCTCACTATGAATTGGTAACTGCTATGTATAAACTCCCATTGAGTTTATAAAATCGTTGGCTCTGGCTAAGGACTAGCACAACAGGCTGTGTCCATTTAATGAGTGATATTTACCCTCAAAAGAGAGCTGTGATTACAACCATTTGGCCTATAAAAGGAAGTTATGGATAAATTTTTCTCATGTGAATCATAAGGATTCTTTTTTTTTTTTTTTCTTAAATTTTTTTTGGATTTTTTTATTGTAGAGATGAGGTCTCACCAAGTTGCCCAGGCTGGTCTAGAACCCATGGACTCAGGCAGTCCTCTCACTTCAGCCTCGCAAAGTGCTGGTATTACAGGCTTGAGCCACCGTGCCCGGTCGGATCTTAAGGTTTCTGTATATACTTATTGTGCAGTGACCCTTTGAAGTTTCCATTTCTTTTGTACTTTTATTATATGAGCTCTTCAGGTAACTTTGCTCCTTGGAATAATTCTTAAGAGAATGAACCTTATAAACTGCTTTAAAATTTCTCATCTACCCTTCACCTAACCTTGAGTTTACAAATAGAAAGTAAGTTGAATTCTGTGTAGTACGTACACAGCTATACACAACATTCCAGTTGCCATATTCCTCTATGCCAGGTTTACTTGCTTTTTTCCTTTTTAGCTGCTGTGTTGAAATATGAAAACAATGTCATGAATATCAGGCAGTTTAACTGCTCTCCACACCCCTACTGGCTTCCAAACTTTATGGATGTTTTCACATGGTCTTTGCCTTTTGTTGGGGAAAAAGGTAAGAGAACTAAGCCATCTGGAATTGGAACTAAGTTGTTTTGACTAGTAACTGACCATACCTTATAGTTGCATGAGCCCCTGATGGTTCAGAAATGTTTTTCTTAAAGTTAAAAATGCTTTCTAATTTTATTTTCTACAGTTTGTTTGTTTGAGACAGGGTCCTACTCTGTCACCCAGGCTGAAGTGCAGTGGCACAATCCTGGCTCCGGCAGCCTCAACCTCCTGGACTCAGACTGTCCTCCCACTTCAGCCTTCCTAGTAGCTGAGACTATAGGCACATGCCATCATGTCCAGCTAATTTTTGCTTTTTTTATAGAGATGAGGTCTTACTATATTGCCCGGGCTGATCTTGAACATCTGGGCTCAAGCAATCTTCCTGCCTTTGCTTCCCAAAGTGCTGGGATTATAGGCGTAAGCCACTGCTTTGACTGATTTTTTTTTTCCAGTGAAGAACTAAGACATACAAAGATTTTTAATTGGTTCTTAAATTTTAGTTCTAGTCTATTATGATTTATTCTCTTTTTTTTTTTTTTGAGTTGGAGTCTCACTCTGTCGCCCAGACTGGAGTGCAGTGGCCGCTCCCGGCCACCGCAGCCTCACCTGCTGGGCTTCGGTGATCCTTCCACCTCAGCCTTCCAAGTAGCTGGAATTACAGGCTTGCTCTACCACGCCTGGCTGATTTTTTTTTATTTATTGTAAAGATGAGGTTTCGCTGCCCAGGTGGGTCTCGAACCCGCAGGCTCAGGCAATCTACTCACCTCAACCTCCCAAAGGCGCGGGATTACAGGCTGAGCCACCGAGCCTGGCTGATTTATTCTAAATATTAATTTAAGGTAGCTGTCCTGCTTTGATCAAAATATTAAAATAACAGTTACCATTTTCTCAGTGATTTCTTTAATACCAAAGAGATTTAAATAGGATTTATTGTCCTTAGAATTGTATTTGTACAACTACACAAATGAGCTACTCAAATATAAAATAAGCCTGTTGGACATAGGCCTGTTGGCTTAACTTCCATATAAAATGGGAAGAAATTTTTTCATGGGCATATCAGCAAGGAAAAAGCTCTGAACAGCAATCTAACACAACCAAGTAGTTATATGATAGAGTCTTCAAAGACTTCAGACTTTACTGGAGCAATTAATCTACTAGAATTCTTTTTAAACCTGAAGTTCTATATTTACTGCTACTCTTTTATTTTTTTTTGAGTTGGAGTCCCACTCTGTCGCCCAGAGTGGAGTGCAGTGGCCGCTCTCGGCCACTGCAGCCTCAACCTGCTGGGCTCTGGCTATCCTTCTGCCTCAGCCTTCCGAGTAGCCGGAATTACAGGTGCATGCTACCATGCCCGGCTGATTTTTTGATTTGTTGTAGAGATGAGGTCTCGCCTGCCCAGGCGGGTCTGAAACCCGCAGGCTCAGGCAATCCACTCACCTCAGCCTCCCAAAGCCACGGGATTACAGGCTGAGCCACCGAGCCCAGCTCTACTGCTACTCTTTATAGCTATTCTTACTAATATAATAATAATTTTGCTATGCTTATTTAGCATATATATGTTTATTTATATAGCCACATTAAACTTTGGACTATTTTGTCTTATATAGTCACAGAGATGCTGGTTAATGTTCTCAACATATGTTCTGATGATGAACTGATTTCCGATGATGAAGCCGAAGGTAAACTTTTCCTCCTCTAAGAAGTTTTGGTTTTAGTTTATTTTGAATATATTTCTTTGCCTTATTAAACGAGAATTATATTTATTGTAGAAAATAAAAATAGAAAAATCAGGAAACCATAAGAAAAAGTCACCCATAAGTCTACCATCTCATATATATCCACTATTAACATCTTGATGTATACTGTTAGCTGTCTTTTATCTTTGCATGCATTTTTTTCTTTTTTTTTTTCTTTTTAACAAGAGTAAGGTTATATAATAATAGTATCATGTACTTTTACTTTTTTTCATAGACTAGCTAATGGATAGATAATTATCCATGTTGACCATTGTTTGTTTTAACCACTCCAGTATTGTTGGACATTGGAGTTTTTCCATAACTTTTTCCTTTTAAAATACCTATAAGGACCGGGCTCGGTAGCTCAAGCCTGTAATCCCAGCACTTTGGGAGGCTGAGGCGAGTGGATTGCCTGAGCCTGTGGGGTTCAAGACCAGTCCGGGCAACTTGACAAGATCTCATCTCTAAATAAATAAATAAATAAATAAATAAAACACCTATAGTTTAAAAAATTTGTACAGATAAATCTTTACATATGTCTGTAACCAATAGTTATTACATATTCGATATGTGCCAACTGCTGTTCAGATTCTTGTTCTCAATAAGCTTATATTCTAGTATAGGGAAGACAAACAACGAGTAAATATGTCAGATGGTGATATATGCTACAAAAGAAAGTAAAGCATTGTTAGAAAATCAAGAATAACATTCTATTATTTCCATAGGCTGCACAGAAATTGAATATCTGTGTCAACTAGTACTTAAAATGTTAAGTCTGATTCAAATAACCTCTAGAAAGACTGTGCCAGTTTACATTTTGTGTGTAGTCCATAGTTTATAGTGCTCTCTCCAGTACTGTTTTTTATACTTGTAATAATCTGATGTTTTAAAATTTTTAATTTGTATTTTTATGATGACTAATGAACATTTTTGGGATATTTATTGGCCATTTTATTTCTCTTTTGTGACTTGTCAATTTATATAGTTCATTCATTTTCCTACTGGGTCATATGCATTTTTTTTCATTTTTGGCATGTGTGGGACCTTTATATACTAACACTTTGTTGTATTTGTAGCCAAGTATTTTTTTTTTCTAGTGTGTTATGGGAAGTTTTATTTTATTTTATTTTTTTGAGTTGGAGTCTCACTTTGTCACTCAGATTTGACCTGCTAGACTCTGGCGATCCTTCCACCTCAGCCTTCCAAGTAGCTGCAACTACAGGCATGCACTACCACACCCGGCTAATTTTTGATTTATTGTAGAGATGAGGTCTCGCCAAGTTGCCCAGGCGGGTCTCAAACCTGTGGGCTCAGGCAATCCATTCACCTCAGCCTCCCAAAGTGCTAGGATTACAGGCTGAGCCACCAAGCCCGGTTGGGAAGTTTGATTTTAAAGATAACATTAACTTGTCTGAGAATGCAGGAGATTCTGAAAGATGGTGGTCACTTGAGCACAAATCTCTAACTGTCTCATTTGCTCCGGGCCCTGTGCTAAGGTGACTCACTCAACTTTTATGATAAACCATCTCCTTAGTGGAGAAAGCAGACTTGGCTCACCATTATAGCCCCCTAAAGCCAAATATAGTGCAGTGAGCATAGTAGGTAAATACTTGCTGAGATAGATTGAATGGAATGATATGAAGTGCGTCTGTTTTTTAAAAATATAAGAATGAATTAGGGCTTTGGGAATTGATACAAAAAATGTATTCGATATTCTGTTAAGTACAAAAGTAAATGGGTAGAATTCTCTTTGTTTTTGCCAAGGATATTAGCTGATATATGTGTAATTTTCCTGAAAGAAAATGAAAAAAGACCTTTTAAGTTAAAATAGTGAGCCACATTAAAACCACATAAAAGTTTGGGTTTCTTTTAAGTGATATAAACTAAGGATTTCTGCTTCATTAATGACAGATTAGATAGTTTAGGTCAACCTTGACTGCTAAGACAACCAGAAAAGCTAGACAAGATATGCTTTGACTTGGTTTTTTTTTTTTGTTGTTGAGTTGGAGTCTCACTTCACCGCCTAGGCTGGAGTGTAGTGGCATGCTCATGGCCACCCCAGTGTCAACCTGCTGGGCCCTGGCGATCCTTCTGCCTCAGCCTTCCAAGTAGCTGAAATTACAGGCATGTACTACCACACCTGGAATATTTTTTGATTTATTGTGGAGACAAGATCTTGCCAAGTTGCCCAGGCGGTATTGAACCTGCAGGCTCAGGCAACCCACTCGCTTCGGCCTCCTAAAGTGCTGGGATTACAGACTGAGCCACCGAACCCAGCCGAGTTCATTTTTAAAGGCATCAGAAAGCAAACGAGGTAGAACAGAATTACCAGGTTGAGACACAGAAAAAGCCAGAAATCTGAGGAGGCGAGACCAACATTTGGGACCATTTCTATCTTAAGGATATTCATGAATTTCCCAAAAGGAGGCTAAAAGATTGAGCAGTCCTCTTGATAGCCTTGTATGACTAAGCTAAAGAAGTTGAGGTTCTGGGCTTGCCAGGGATGATTTGAGTGCTAGTAAGCTTCTGCTCATTAGTTTGGGATCCTCAAAGATTGCATCTATGTAAGAGTAAGAGTGAGCTGGAATAGAATAGCCCTGGAAGGGAATATAGCATACCTTCTAATCATTTTAAGGTAGTTCCAGGCACCTGATGAAAGTAAACCTCACTAGACTAAGATAACCTAATGTAGGTAGGGCCATAAATGATATTTACAAATAGTCTTTGATATATATATGACTTACAAGTAAAAATAACTAGGAATGTAAGGAGCTATAACAGTGTAAATGAGAACCATCCCAAACAGTAAAAATAGCCTGGCACAGTGACTCACATCTATAATCCCAGCACTTTGGGAGGCAGAGATGAGAGGATGAGCCCAGAGGTTGAAGACCAGACTGGGCAGCTTGGTGAGACCTCGTCTCTACAATAAATCAAAAAATTAGCCAGGTGTGGTGGCATGTACCTGTAGTTCCAACTACTTAGAAGACTGAGGCAGAAGAATCACCTGAGCCCAGTGCAGCAGGTTGATGCTGTGGTAGCCATGAATGTGCCCTGCCTTCCAGTCTAGGTAACAGAGTGAGAATCCAACTCAAAAAAAAATAGGCTGGGTGCAGTGGCTCACATCTGTAATCCCAGTACTCTGGGATGTCAAGGCAAAGGATCATTTGAGGTTGAAAGTTTAAGACCAGCCTGGGCAGCATAGTGAGACCCTGTCTCTATGGAAAAAAAAAAAAAGATAAAAGAAACAGCAAAAAGGAGACTTTAAAGTTAAAAAATATTTTGAACTGAATGAAAATAAAAAATAAGGCCGGGTGCAGTGGCTCAAGCCTGTAATCCCAGTACTTTGGAAGACTGAGGTGAAAGGATTGCCTGAGTCCATAGGTTCAAGAACAGCCTGGGTAACTCGACGAGACCTCATGTTTACAATAAATGTAAAAATTAACTGGGCATTGTAGTGTGTGCCTATAGTTCCGGCTACTTGGAAGGCTGAGGGGGAAGGATCACCGAAGACCAGCAGGTTGACGCTGGAATGACTGTGAGCATGCCACTGCACTCTAGCCTGGGCAGTGGGGTGAGACTCTAACTCAAAAAGAAAAAGTAGTACGTATTAAAACTTGTGGGGTATATCTAAAGTCATGGTAAGAGGAAAATTTATACCTTATTTTGTCTTCCTTCATGAGCACAAGATGTAGCCTCAACTGTATATATTAAAAAAGAAGAAAGGCAGAAAATCAGCACCCATCTCAAGAAGTTAACAAGAGACAGAGAGCATATTATACCTAAAGAAAGTAAACATTGAAATAAAAGCAACAGTACAACAAAACAAAATAATACAGAGGAGTAACAAAGCCAAAATGTGTTCTTTTGAAAAAACCAGTAAAAAATTGATAAACTCCTGGTAAAGACTAATCAAATAAAAAAGAGAAGACGAATAATAACCAATGCCAGTACTAGAAAAGGCGATATTACTACGGATCCTATAGACATTAAGAAAATGACAAGTAGCCGGGCGTGGTGGCTCACACCTGTAATCCCAGCACTTTGGGAGGCTGAGGTGAGAGGATTGCCTGAGTCTAGGGGTTTGAGACCAGCCTGGGCAACTTGGTGAGACCTCATCTCTACAATAAATCAAAAATTAGCTAGGGGTGGCGGCACATGCCTATAGTTCCAGCTACTTGGAAGGCTGAGGCAGAAGGATCACTTGAGCCCAGCAGGTCAAGGCTGTGGTGACCATGAGCATGCAACTGCACTCTAGCCTGGATGATGGAGTGAGACTCTGACTCAAAAAAAAAAAAAAAAAAAAAAAAAGAAGCCGGGCTCGGTGGCTCAGCCTGTAATCCCGCGCCTTTGGGAGGCTGAGGTGAGTGGATTGCCTGAGCCTGCGGGTTCAAGACCCGCCTGGGCAACTTGGCAAGACCTCATCTCTACAATAAATCAAAAACTACCCGGGCGTGGTAGCACATGCCTGTAGTTCCAGCTACTTGGAAGACGGAGGCGGAAGGATTTCCGGAGCCCAGCAGGTCGAGGCTGCGGTGGCCGGGAGCGGCCACTGCACTCCAGTCTGGGCGACAGAGTGAGACTCCAACTCAAAAAAAAAGAAAGAAAGAAAAGAAAATGGCAAGAGAATAAATTTATACCAATGCATTTTAAACTTTGATGAAATGGATAAATTGCTAGAAAAATATAACTTATCCAGAATGATACATTATAGAAATGTAATAATCTCATACCTACCAAGAAATAGGATTTGCAATTCAAAGAAAATTCCAGGTGCAGATAACATCACCAATAAATTCTACTAAACATTTAAGCAAGAAACACCACCGGTCTCATACAAGTTCTTCCCAAGAATAAAAAAGAAGAAATGTTCTTCAACTAATTTAATGAGACTGATTTAACTGTGATACTAAAACCTGATAAGCACCTGGGCACAGTGGCCCATGCTTGTAATACCAGAACTGTGGGCGGCTGAGGTGGGAGGATTGCTTGAGCCCGAGAGTTTGAGACCAGCTTGGGCAGCATAGCAAGACCTTGTTTCTACAAAAAATTTAAAAAATTAGCTGGGCATGGTGGTGGCATGCATCTGTAGTCCCAGCTACTTGGGGGCCCGAGGCAGGAGAATCACTTGAGCCAGGAGGTCGAGGCTGCAGTGAGCCATGATCGTGCCACTATACTCTAGTGTCAGCAACAGTGAGACCCTGACCCCGCCAAAAAAAAAATCTGACAAGGAAATTAACATAGAATGATCCTAAATAAAACATCATCAAGCTGAAACCAGCAATATACATAAAAAGTTATACATCTCAACCAAGTTGATTTATTCCAAAAACCTCAGAAAATTTAATAATAAAAAATCAGTATATACTAATATAAGATGTAATCATAGTGGAAACAGGGTGGAAAACTCTGTATTATCTTCACAACTTTTCTATAAAGCTAAAGCTATTCTAAAATAGAAATTAAAAAAAAATCAATATAATTTACTGCATTAATAGAAAAAAATGAAAATTTATGTAACCTCAGTAGTTATAGAAACAGTACTAGAGCTGGGCTTGGTGGCTCAGCCTGTAATCCCGCGCCTTTGGGAGGCTGAGGTGAGTGGATTGCCTGAGCCCGCGGGTTCGAGACCCGCCTGGGCAGCGAGACCTCATCTCTATAATAAATCAAAAAATCAGCTGGGCGTGGTAGCGCATGCCTGTAATTCTGGCTACTCGGAAGGCTGAGGCGGGAGGATCGCCGGAGCCCAGCAGGTCGAGGCTGCGGTGGCCGGGAGTGGCCACTGCACTCCAGTCTGGGCGACAGAGTGAGACTCCAACTCAAAAAAAAAAAAGAAACAGTACTAGGTAAAATTTATCTTTTATTTGTAATAGATCCCTTAAGCTAGAATTAGAAAGGAATTTCTTTAATTTGACACATGTATCTACAAAAACATATAGCAGACATCATATGGTGAAATGTTGAAAGCTTTCTTTTCTTTCTTTCTCTCTCTTTCTCTTTCTCTCTTTCCTTTTTTCTTCCCTCCCTCCCTCCTTCCTTCCTTCCTTCCCTTCCTGACAAGTCTCACTATGTTACTGTGTTGCCTAGGCTGGTCTTGAATTCCTGAGCTCAAGCAATTCTCTTACCTCAGCCTCCCAAAGTGCTAAGATTACAGGCATGAGGCACTGCACCCAGTCAAAAACTTTCTTTAGTAATTAGCAACCAGACAAGGCCTGGGATCCCAGGGAGGCGGAGGCGGAGGCAAGAGGGTTGTCTGAGCCCAGGGGTTTGAGACCAGCAATAAATCAAAAAATTAGCCAGGTGTGGTGGTGCATGCCTGTGGTTCCAGCTACTTGGAAGGGTGAAGCAGAAGGAGCGCCTGAGCCAAGCAGTTTGAGGCTGCAATGGCTGTGAGCATGCCACTGCACTCCAGCCTGGGTGACAGAGTGAGACTCCAACTCAAAAAAAAAAAAAAAAAAACCAGACAAGGATGCCTGCTGTCACTACTTCTAAACAGTATTGTACTAGAAGTTCTAGCCAATACAGTGAGGCATGAAAAAGAAATAAAGAATAAAGATTGGAAAGGAAGAAAAAGATCATGCCACTGCACTCCCACCTGGGTGACAGTGAGACCCCAACTCAAAAAAAAAAAACAAAGCTCACCCTGTCATTTCATATAAAGCAGAGTCAGCCATGTCCCATGTCCACCCACCAACTCTGAAAGCTTTTTAGTCCCTTACTCTTAATCATGAGTGAGTACCAAGGATTATTAGACACTTAGTGAAAGCCTTTAAGAGACAAACCACCACAACAAAAATAGCAAAAAGCAACTTGAAATTCTGAAGAACATTCAAAACTTAATAAGGGAAGAACTATAATATCCCTTAAAAGCTAAGAGATTTATAAAAATGTTTTGTTCTGTCCTTTGTTTTTGTTCTTTGTTTTTAGCATCATTTATTCCACAAATGATACCTTTGTCTAATGTTATTTTCATGATCTGTAGGAATAGAAAACGGATAATAACAAATGTGAATGTAAAACTATAAACTTTTAAGAAATGGAAGGAACTACTGACAAATCTCTAATTTAATGTTCTATCCTGATACCAAGGATATCTCTTATGACCTGGTAAAGATAATAGCCTGCTTCTCTCATTGCATTTCACTTTGTTTTCTCTCTTCCATGTAAACTTAAATTTGTCTTCTCATATTTCTATCTTCACCTCCTTGTTTCTTGGTGTCTCTTCTCCCTGAAGATCACTACATTTCAAGCTATCAGAAAGGTATCCGACTAAAATGTGCTAAGAACTTAATACTCGTTGTCTGTGCCACCACAGTCTATGGGTTAGATGTTTTTGGTTGGTAGTTGAATACTTTCAGACAGGCTCTCCATCCTCCCTTTCAGTTTTCATGTATGTGTTTTCTCTGGACCTGCTACCTGATCCAGCAGGATATTGAGAGCTGGAGGTGAGGAAGGAAAAGTCATGTTTTCTTTTCTGACTTTTGAATGTGGTCACCTGGTGCATGCCTGGACCTTGGCTTCTCATGTGTAGGTTATTTGCTGAATCTTGAATGAGAAAAAGCCATAAAGTCTTGATATAACTTTTTTGATTGTTGCTTTTTAAAATGCTGCACAGTTGTCAATAGTATTATGAGGAAATAACTCACTAGTATAAGAAGATTATAGAATGAAAGCAGTCCTCACTAAGTTCAGCAGAGCTAACTGGACACTGTGTTTCCATGTAAAAGACAGCTGCTGGAATGATCACTTGCCATTTGGCAGGCCAAACCCTGCATCCTAAGGTGGCCCACAGCATTCTCAAAAGGGATCTTTGCTGTAGCAGCAGTCTTTGTGAGGTTTGTTTATGTGTTTGTGTTTCATTCTTTGCTTTGTTCCACATTTCAGAAGCACAAAGAAGTTCTTCTCATAGATCCACAGTCTGCCTTTTTTGTGACCCTTCATTTTTAACTTCGTCTTTTTATCTTCTGGGTTATTTTTTTTTTTCTTGTTCCTTAGAACTTCCTGGGATTTTTGTTTGTTTAAACAATCTTAGACCTTTACTTTCTTTTTTTTCAAACAAATAGTTTCTTTATAAGACACTTCATCCTGCATCTTTTTAAGCCAACCTGTTAACACACTCCTTTAACTCACTTATTCTCTGTATTCTCTAAGGAAGCACTACAGTTCGTAAGGAGATCATCAAGAATAAAATCAGAGCCATTGGGAAGATGGCACGGGTCTTTTCAGTTCTTCGGTAAGGCTTTCCGTCATTACAATATGGGTTAAAGGCATTTTGAGAGTAAATTAGAAGTTGATTTCACAGCAGTTTTTTAGAATTGGAATTCGGTATTGGAACTGCAAGTATTCAGGTTGAATGTAGATCGAATCAGATGTACATGTTAAAGTGAGTAAAAATGTTCTGGCAAACATTCACTTGGTACTAGCTTAAGATGTAGTGAATATAGTGGCTCAGTGTGGACTATCAAGCCAGATTGTCTGTTTTCAAATTCTGGCTTTACTTCTTCTTAGTTGTGTGGTCTTAGGTTTCATTTCTGTGTCTTAGTTTCCTTGTATGTAAAATAATAATAGGTCCTACCTCAACATGTTGTTAGGTATATTAAATGGGATAATATATGGGACACATTAGCATAGTGCCTGGCTATTAAGTACCTCTAATTGAAAAACAAGAACTGGCTGATCATTCAAAATTGGAATGTTTACAGAAAACATCCCTTTCTTTGAGTTAGGGAAGGGGTTGGAGGTAGGAGAACCTGTCTTCCATCTCTACTCTTTTTGTCTTAACTTCCTTCAATATATTTGAATTGCTGAGTGGTAGGCTCCCTGGATTAACCCAGGGCTTTGATCTTCCTTTTCAGGGAAGAGAGTGAGAGTGTGCTAACTCTCAAGGGCCTGACTCCTACAGGTACACTCCCTCTGGGTGTTCTCTCAGGAGGAAAGCAGACTATTCAGACTGGTGAGTAGAGAATGCTCCTTTCCCAGAAGGTTTGCTCCTATTACCTAGCAATCAACTTACAGTTAAAAATGGGGGCTTCTTGGGGGGGGGCAGCAAAAAAAAATAATAATGGGGGCTTCTTTCTGTTAATGGTACTAGAACAATTACTTATCCATCTGGGGAATAAATGAATCTTGGTCCTTAACTTACAATAAAAATGCAAAACATTCTCTTAGCCTCTTGGCTAAGATCATGTGTAGTATCTGTTCTTATCAGTTTATCAGTAAAGATGCAAAACAATAAAACTAGAAGAAAGTATGGAGAGAAGGCATTGGGGTAGGGGAGAGTTCTTCAGTAGAACACAAAAAGTACTAATCTTAAAAAAAAAGGAATTTCATTAAAATTAAGAACTTCTCTTCATAAAAATACAGGAGAGGGAAAAGGCAAGCCACAAACTGGAAGAAGATTTTTGCAATACATACGTCTGACAGAGCCTTGTATTCAGAATATATGAAGAAACTACAAACCAACAAGAAAAACCAAAATTTTTAAATGGTTAAAAGATTTAAACAGACACTTCACAAAAGAGAGTACCAAAATGGGCAATGCATATATGAAAAGATGTTAATATATAGTTTTTCATCTGGGAAATATTAAAAACCACAGTATGGGCCAGGTTCAGTTGTTCAGCCTGTAATCCCAGCAGTTTGGGAGGCTGAGACGAGTGGATTGCCTGAGCCCACGGGTTCGAGACCAGCCCGGGGAACTTGGCAAGACCTCGTCTCTGTAATAAATAAAAAATTAGCTGGGCCTGGTAGCACGCTTCTGTAGTTCTGGCTACTTGGAAGGCTGAGGCGAAAGGATCACCAGAGCCCAGCAGGTCGATGCTGGGATGGCTGTGAGTGTACCACTGCCCTCCAGCCTTGGCGATGGAGTGAGATTCCAACAACAGCAACAAAAACCACAGTGAGGTATCACTGCATACTACTAGAATTGCTGAAATTTAAAAGTCTGACAATACCAAGTGTTGGTGTGCTTGTGCGGAACTAGAACTAGGTAGGTACATTGTAGGAAGTCCTGTACATTGGCTCAACCACTTTGGTAAACTATTGGACAGTAAAGCTAAACATATATCTATCCTATAACCCAGCATTCCACACATCCAAGAGAAATCAGTACATATATTCACCCAAGGGTGTGCATGAGCTTGTTCACTGTAGCTTTATTCATAATAGCCCAAGGCTAGAAACAACCTGAATATCTATCTGTGGTAGAATAGATAAATAAATTGTGTTCTATTTAGTCAGTGGCATACTACTCAGCAATAAAAAATAACGTTATGGATACATGGAACAACGTGATTGAATCTCACAGATGTTATAATAAGCTAAAAAAGCCAGACACAAAAAGAGTCCAGACTGTCTGATTTACCTGTTGTTTAAGAACAGTCAGGCTAACTAGTGGTAATAGAAGTCAGAATGGCATCTCCTCTGGCAGAAGAGTATTGACTCAGAAGGGCACAGGGAGCTTCTGGAGTGTTAGGATGTTCTATATCACTATTGAGGTGGTAGTTATACATGTGTATACATATGAAAAATGTCCTAGGCTGTACACTTCAGCTGCGTGCATGTGATATGCCTCACGTGTATATTACACTTCAGTGAAAATAATTTTGGGGTGTTAGAGTATCTCAATCAGAGAGGGAGTTTGCCTCTTTGCCTGCAGCCAGATTCTACTCCAGTACCACACTCACCTCTTCAGTGAAAGTGTTAGTACTAAAAACTACATAGGAGCTGACTTTTTAGGAGAGGGCATTATGGAATCCTAGAATGAAAAGATTGATGTTTGTCAGAATAAACATAGATCTGGTCAAGGAGAAGAGACAGAGATGACATCATTGGATGACTAATTCTAGGTATGAAAACTGGTGTTGAAGCATTAGTATTTTATACTAAAGTTTAGCTCATTTTTGCTTCCCTTGCTTTATTGAATTGTTTCTATTTAAGTTTTGTTTTGTTTTGTTTTGTTTTAATTTTTTTTCTTGTCATCCTTCATCTTGCCTTTCTTTTCAATTTAAGAGACAGAGTCTTGTTATGTTGCCCAGGCTGGAATAGACAGGCATGATCGTAGCTCATTACAGCCTCCAACTCCTGACCTCAAATGATTCTCTGGCCTCAGCTTCCCAAGTAGCTGGTACTACAGGCGTACACCACCACTCCTGCCATACTGCTGTTTAGAGGCATCATTTTTTCTTTTGTGGAAATTTCATTGCTGTCGACTAATAGGAAAAAACCTACTTGTTTGTTCCTATTAGTCGACAGCAATGAAATTGAATTCCTCTTCCTCTTTTAAATTGAATACTGAATGATTAGAGTGAATTCCTCTTCCTCTTTTAAATTGAATACTGAATGATTAGAGTTTAGCTATTTAGAAGGAAGACCAAACACTTTCTCCTTGGAAATATACAATTTATTTTCTTCTTTTTTTATTTTTTAATTTTAATTTTAAAGATGTGAGGTACAATTCAGGGTATACAAATGATCATTGTATAGGTAAAGTTTGGCCCTCATTTTGGTCGCCAGTCACCTGGTTTGAGATCAGATACCTTCATTGATGACATATGCTCCCCCCACTCCCTCCCTTGGCAGTTTCCCACTACTTCCAATTCTTTTCTTATAGTATTATGATAATTATTCAGGGTCTGCTTATGAGAAAGAGCATGTGGTACTTAGTTCTTTGTTTCTGTGATTGATCACTGAGTATAGCAGACTAAATCCATCCAAGTTGCTGCAGAGTTCATAATCTTGTCCTTCTTTTATGGCTGCACAATATTCCATCGTGTATATGTACCACAATTTTTTAATCCAGTCTACTTTTGATGGGCAGCACGATTGGTTCCATGTTTTTGCTATTGTGAATAGTGCTGCAAGAAACATGTGTGCACAGGTATCTTTTTTGTAGAATGATTTGAGTACTTCCGAGTATATTCCCAGAAGAGGGGTTGCTGGGTTGTACAGGAGGTTGATTTTTAGATCTTTTAGAAATCACCACATTGTTTTCTACAGAGGTTGTGCTAGTTTACACTCCCACCAACAGTGTAGAAGTGTTTCCTTTTCCCTGCATCCTCTTCAGCATCTGTTGTTTTTTGAGTTACTGATGATGGCCATCCTGACTGGAGTTAGGTAGTATCTCAGTGTAGTTTTAATTTGTATTTCTTTGATGATTAGAGAGGCTAAGCATTTTTCATGTATCTGTTGCCTACTCATATGTCTTCTTTTGAAAAGTGTCTATTCTTATCTTTTGCCCACTTTTTAATAGGGCTGCTTATTCTTTTCACAGACAGAATCAGTAAGCTATTTAAGATTGAAATTTTTTCTCAGATAAATAGCACTTTTTTTAATAAGCAGAATATTTCCCCACCATTGCTTTGCTTTGTAATTAGTCATGTGAGATATTCTAAGAGCAGCTCTGATAAGGATATTTTAGAGTAATAGAAAGTAACATGAATACAGAAAAAAAGAATGTCCTATAGAATCCTTACTAAAAAGTTTTGAAAATTTGCTGATCCACAAAGTTGTTGTTTTAATGTAAACCAATATTTTCTAGACCTTGAGAGAGCAAATCTGCAAAATGGGGACAAGTAACAAAGAAAATGTTATAGATGTGTTATTTGGGAATTTGCTTGTTTATAATTCTTGGCCACCCTTTGGGCTCAGTCCCAACATGTCTAGTTTCTCTATTTTCCTGACTTTCATATTAGTGTTTTAATTAATAGAGGATTGTTTATTGATACTTCCAAAATTGATGGAAATCTTCAGGAATGTATGAGAAGAATGAAAGGTAAAGTTGGAGCCAACTTCTTAGAGCTTCTTATTCTTTCTTATTGATTGACAAGAAATGAGTTTATTTTGTTATCTTCACATCGGAGTGTCAGTTCCACGAGTTCATTGGCATACTGGAACATTAGTTAAAAAAAGACCTTTTATTGTTTATACAACTTTACATGGAGAGCTTTTAACCAACAGTATCCTATATGGCCTTATAACATACATTTATTTGTGCCCCACCTTGATCCAAGAGGGATTTGTATGAGTTGCAGTATACATAAACACAGTGGACTAAAATAAATATGTGAAGATGGAGCACAAAAGAAAACAAAATAAAACCAATAATCAGCCACAAATTTGACTTTAAGCTTCCTTGTAGCAAACTGGAGAGGAAGACCAAGAACAAGATTCACAAAGACCATAAGATAAAAAAACAGATCAGTTATAAATTGGACTATGTCAAAATTAAAAACTCAGTGGCTCAGCCTGTAATCCCTCGCCTTTGGGAGGCTGAGGTGAGTGGATTGCCTGAGGCCGTGGGTTCGAGACCCGCCTGGACAACTTGGCGAGACCTCATTTCTACATAAATCAAAAATTAGCTGGGCATGGTAGGGCGTGCCTGTAGTTCCAGCTACTTGGAAGGCTGAGGCGGAAGGATCGCTGGAGCCCAGCAGGTCGAGGCTGCGGTGGCCGGGAGCGGCCACTGCACTCCAGTCTGGGCGACAGAGTGAGACTCCAATTCAAAAAAAAAAAGTATGTTGCAAATGGTACAATCAAGAAAGTAAAAAGACAACCCACAGAATAGGTGAAAATTATATTTCATAAGGGACTTGTATCTAGAAAATATAAAGAATTCTTAACTGAATCATTTTAAAAAACCCAATTAAAAAATGGGTAAATAAGCTGGGCTCGGTGGCTCAGCCTGTAATCCCGCGCCTTTGGGAGGCTGAGGTGAGTGGATTGCCTGAGCCCGCGGGTTCGAGACCCGCCTGGGCAGTGAGACCTCATCTCTACAATAAATCAAAAAATCAGCCAGGCGTGGTAGCACATGCCTGTAATTCTGGCTACTCGGAAGGCTGAGGCGGAAGGATCGCCGGAGCCCAGCAGGTCAAGGCTGCGGTGGCCGGGAGCAGCCACTGCACTCCAGTCTGGGCGACAGAGTGAAACTCCAACTCAAAAAAAAGGGTAAATAATTTGAATTGCCATTCTTCTAAAGAAGACATGCAAGTGGCACATGATATTTGACATCTTTAGACATTCGGGAAATGCAAATCAACACCACAATGAGATGCCACTTCATACCTACGAGGATGACTGTGATAAAGAAGATAATTAATAAGTGTTCATGAGGATAAGGTGAAATTGGGACCCTTGTGCACTACTGGTGGGAATGTAAAATGGTATAGCTGCTTTGGAAAACATTCTGGCAGTTATTTAAACAAGTAAACTTATTACCCTTCAATTCCAGTTCTAGTTATATACCCCCTAAAGAAATGATAATATGATCATACAAAAAGTTGTACACAAATGTTCATAAATGGGTATTCTTCATAATAACCAAAATGGAATCTTTATAATAGCCAAAAAGTGGAAACAAGTCAAATGCCCATCTACTGTATAAGCAAAATGTAGTATATACAATGGAATACTGTTCAGCCATAAATGGGAATGGAATACAGATGCATGCTTCACATGAGTGAACCTTAAAAATATTATGCTAGCCGGGCTCCGTGTCTCAGCCTGTAATCCCATGCCTTTGGGAGGCTGAGGTGAATGGATTGCCTGAGCCCGCGGGTTCGAGACCCGCCTGGGCAACTTGGCAAGACCTCATCTCTACAATAAATCAAAAATTAGCCGGGCATGGTAGCGTGCGCCTGTAGTTCCAGCTACTTGGAAGGCTGAGGCGGAAGGATCGCCAGAGCCCAGCAGGCCGAAGCTGTGGTGACCGGGATTGGCCACTGCACTCTAGTCTGGGTGACAGAGTGAGACTCCAACTCAAAAACAAAAAAACAAAAAAAACCCATTATGCTAAGTGAAAAAGGTGTCAGTCACTAATGACCACATATTCTGTTATTCTACTTATATGAAATCTCCAGAACAGGCTAATCTATAGTGGTTGACTAGGGTTAAGGGGAAGAGGAGAGGAGGTTAAAATGAAAAGTGACTGCTAATAAGTAGGGTGTTTCTCTTTGGAGTGATGAAAGTATTCTAAACATAGATTGTGGTGATGTTTGCACAACTCTAAATGTATTAAAACCATTGACTTGTGTACTTTAACCAAGTGAATTTTATGGTATATGAATTATATTTCAATAAAGATGTTAGAAAGGAAAAAAGAGTTCAGTTAGTTTTATATGATTGTTTCTTATAATCTCCCTCAGTGCAGGCTGTTTTCTTAATACCAAATACAAAAAGCAATTCTAGGAAGGCCCAAGACAATGTCATGCTAGTACACATTTCACCATGTAGCTTTTAAACTCTAATTAGACCAACACTGTGTACAGTTTCAAGCAATGCTTTGTTCTCCCACTTCTACAGTTGCATCAGCAGTATGTTAGAAGGCACTACAGTTGTCTTGTGAAGTTTGTATTTGTACTATTTAAGGAGATTAGAAAGGGTGTGACATTGATTTAACACATGCCTGCATATGGTTGGCAAATGTAAGCATTTGATAAGTTGATTCCAAATATCCATTTTTACATTGTGTTAGGTAGTTAATTTTGCAGTTCTTTTCATTTCTCCTGTGGTATTGATCTGTAAAGCCTTGTAAAACTGTTATTGCTCATTATTCTTCCTGGCTTCTTTTAGAAAATTGGTCTTGGGGGAACTGACAGGATTTTCCTAATAGGCTCTTTTCTTGCTACAACCAGTACCTTTTCATATATTATGGTTTTTATTGTATGAAAAAACAAGATGCAAGGTAGTTTACCTGTTGGTATGAATTTTTTTAAAATTGCTTCCTTCTCCATCACTGAAGGAGAAGAGGGCTTTCTTAGTTATTGGTCTGCTCTCTCGAACACTGAATGGAAGCCATATGGTCTGGAAATGTCAGCCTCTGCTAAATTTCTAAGCCCAGTTGGGTATATGAATTTCCATTGGGAATTGAATAGTTCTGTGCCTTTGCTAGCTTAGTATTCTACTTTCAGACAAGAAATGACCCCTCACATGTAACCTGTTTGTCTCTCCTTCCAAATGCCAATCTGCTGTTCAAGGGCCACTCTTTTTTAAATTAAGCAGTTAATAGGACAATTGGACCCCACATAAGTCACTTGAATGCAAGAAGTAGTTGTAAATAAGTTTTTTGAATAGGACCCAGAGCAGCTCATTTAATACCATCTGAACTATTACAAACTAAAGAATATTGTGATGTTAAATTATTTGATTTGGCATGGTATTTTGATATGCGGATGTCAAGACATAAAATAGCAGTTGGCTATTTGAAATGAAGAGAGTCACTTTGGGAGACCAAGGTGGGAGGATTGCTTGAACCCAGGAAGGATTGCTTGAACCCAGGAATTTGAGACCAACTTGGGCAGCATAGTGAGACCTTGTCTCTACAAAAAAAATTTTTTTTAATTAGCTGAGTGTGTGGCGTGTGCCTATAGTCCCAGCTACTCGGGAGACTGGGGCAGAAGGGTCACGTGAGCCCAGTAGGTCAAGGCTGTGGTGAGCCATGATCATGCCACTGTACTCTAGTCTGGTGACAGAGCAAGACCCCAAAAAATAAATAACAAAATGAAAAGAGCAATGTCCTCATGCTACCTGAAATGCTAAAAATATGAGAAACTCTCCTCACTTCATATCTCCCCCACATGCAGTTTGGTCTCTTGCAGTAACCCTCTCGCTTCTCTAACTAGTCAGCTTTTATTATACATGGGGATAAGCTAAAAGGTGGGACCCTGGGGTGTCTGTGCTGGCAGCAGTGCTGTTGGTTTACTCACTCTTTTTCTGTCTTCATTTTTGCATGCTACTGCTCCTGCCCTCTTACAGCCACAGTAGAAGCGGTAGAGGCCCGGGAAGGTATGGCCATACTACTCTGATAGATGTGATCATGTGTCTGTCTGCTGGTTTTTAAAAGCTTTATCAACATTTCAGATCTTTTATTATTGCATCACCGGAACTGCAACAGTGAAAAGAGAGTAGATATTTCTAGGCATGTTCAGAAGCAGGTGTTTCCTTTGTATCCTATATTTGTATTTCAGTGACCTTCACCATAGCTACAGTCCTTTCTGGGCTCTGTCAGTTTTAATGCAATGGCTGAAGCTTAAGCAGTTGGTCATGTGAGGTCAAGTGGCTTACTCCCATATCCCTTCCATATACAAGAAACATCCATTTGATTGTAAAGAGGTTCAAACAGGTCAGCCTCTTTTTCTAGTAACTCTAAGGATATCAAGAGCAGAGGCAAAAGTAGACTAGAATTTATTAGCTCAGTTCATTTCTGAGGTTTCTCTAAGGCGCTCAAGCTAAATTATCTTTGTTTCTATGGAGATATATTTTAAGAAACATTATCTACAAATTTGTGGATGAAAACCATTGGAATTGATAAACCTGTGTTATAAATTTAACTGTTCCATTAGGTAAAGTGGCTCAAAATGGGAATGCCTTTCCTTGACAATACAAAAGTTGAATCAGAAGGAAAATATTTAGAGACTATTTTGATGGTTTTTAGCTTACATTCTGCTCCTGGTTGTGCAAGATAAAAAACTGTCCTACACAAATAGATTAGCTCTTTTGTTACTTTTTGTGTGTGTGTGTGGTCAATGTGGTGTTTGTACCTAAAGGAAATACTTTGTGTTTAACTTGTTATATTATTCTTAGTTGCCTTTGTTCTAGTATAGAGCACGTTTCTGGCCCATAAGAAACTCTTCCTCATATGTATTGGGGCTAAGTTCTTGTTAGCTTTTTGTCAAGAATACTTTGCTGTGATTACTCATATTGAGCATTTATGAAAATTATTCATGGTTTTAGCTGCCCTTTGGGCCTTAAGGAGACAATAGCTTCAGATAAAGCTGATTCAGTCAAATCTTGCTTATTGCCTTCACCAGTCATGTGCTCGTAGATACCTTTTTATAGAAAAAAATCTCTAGGAGGTTTCTGTGCGCTAAGAATCTTTTTAAAACTTGTTCCTTTGCTGCCTAATTGAGTACTCCCCACCCCCACCCCCCCTTCCTGTTTTTCTGTAGCCATCAGAGGGTTTTCACTTCAGCACAAGATCCGGAGTTTTGAAGAAGCCCGAGGTCTGGACCGAATTAATGAGCGAATGCCACCCCGGAAAGATGGCATACATTCTGATGGGCCATTGAAGTCTGTAACCCCAGTACTCCCAACTGCTGCACTTAGGAGCGACCAAGGGAAGAAAGCACAGTAATGATTCAGAGTACTGCTGTGGCACAGTGGATCTAAAACTCAAGAACAAATTGTATTTATTTATTATAGGAAAATGAAACTAAACTCAAACAACTTAAATCTGGAGGTGCATTTATAATTCAGTCCGCATTGATTGTGTAAGAAAGGTGACCGTTTTATAAATTCTTTTAATTTATGTTCAATATGTATAAGAAGTGCATCTGTTTTGTTTTTCCCTTTTTTTCTTCCTGATTTTTAGGAACTAATCTGGCTGTTGTCAATACATATGTGAAGTCTTGTGCTATAAAGGGGACTTTCCCCTAATAAAAGGACCTTGGAAACCTGAACCCTGGGTTTCTGACTTGAACTAGTCAGCCTTCACTCTTGTTTGGGAAGGTAATATCTTTCACGAACGACTAATAACTTTTCAAATGCAAGAAGATTTTTTTTTTCCTTTTCATTTTTCTTTTCTGCTTGGTGCCATTGAAGAAAGGCCTCTTAGATGTCAGTGGCTAAAACTGCTTCTCTTCTGATGGAAAACTTGATGATGGTAGAACCTCTAAGTGAATAACCCAAACCCAGTTATTATAAGAACCAAGGAGAATATTTCCCATGATAACCTTTCTCTGAACTCTTAGTTCCTTTAAATATGTTTTAGTAAAAGCAAGATTTAAAAATGACAAGGGATTTTCTTAGAGTTGAAGTATGTTCATCTAACAATGGCCACAATTGGTTTAAACTTTCCTTAGAACTTTGGAGGAGAGTTTCAGAAAGCCTAAACTGTTGCCAAATTATTTTGCTTTCATTTTTGAACCCCAGATGACTTACTCCATCTGCAAAGAACGTTACTTTTCTAGGTATTGTATAACTGCCCTCAGCAGAGCCTTCAACAGCAAGAAGTATTGAAGCCCTTTTAGGCTACTGCATCAGATCTTGTATCTATTTTTACCATCATCCTTATGTTATTCCCTGTCAGTATTTCTGGAACCAACTGACATGGTGGAAACTGACAGGGGTGAGATGAGATGATCCCCTTGTGAATTGAAGGTCTTGCTAAATTTAGGGCACTGGATGAGTGAAGATTTCCTGTCTTCTATATCAATTACTGAGATGTTTTTCCATTCTTCAACTCATTAAGTTGAACTGTATGTTAGCCTCATTAGCATATTTTGGAATACAAAGAAACCAGTATAGTGTTCCAATATAGTGTTTGAATGATCTTCCCTTAGTTTGATTTTCTTCACAACCAACTGGTGAAGAAAATTGTAGGGTTACTTAGGGTCCCATTTCTGGTTGGCCTGATCACAGATGTCATGTCATTGGTAGCTCCAAAGTCAAGGTGCATGCCAGGGAACACTATATCAAAGCATGGAAAACACACCTTTATGGCATTCCTTAATGTCTCTTGTAATGTCGGAGTTCAGCACTGAAGCAGGTATTTAGACAGTAGTACTTCATGTTGGGAGCTTCAGGGAAACCAGAAGAACAAAAAACAACATAATTGTTGTTTTTAAAAAATCATAATTTTCTATAGAAGAATGAAGACTTAACCCATCTATCTCTGTTTTCCTATACCTGTTGCTAACAGTTCCTGGTTTTTTTTATGACAGAGATCAAGGCTCTTTGGGGATTGGAACCTGCCTGCATGGATTGCTCTGTTACTAAAAAGATAGGAAGGATATTGTGGAAGGAGATAAAGGATCTCCTATTGAGTTGTGAGTAAAACTTGTGAAAGAAGGTAGAAAAAGTCTTGAGTTGCTGTCTCTCCATTTCTCTATACTTAAAGAGAAAATTAATCATCGTCATACTCCTCCCTCCCCTAATCCCAGTATTAGAAAAGATTCTGTCTTGGAAGTTAGTCCACACGACAGAGTGTGGAGTTAGTTGGGAGTTCCTTAACCCTTTCTCATTTTCGTTAAGGCTGTTTTTATGCATACACAATCCACAGGTAGAAACCACTTTTTAAGCAGGCAATAGTAGAGATAGTTATTGTAAATTCTTACAAGCAAATATACATATATAAGCAAATATATATATATATTTTACTGGTTATTTAGGAATGTCTTCATTATCTTCTCAAAAAGAAATGGGATTAAAATGCAAGTTTCTTGTACTGAAGCATCACAAAAGTGTATATAGAGTATTTTACAGGTGCTGTCTGAGCTGTTGAAGGATCAGCCAGAGAATGAGTTTAAGATAAAGCAGCACCAGCTCTTGGAGGAGGCTAGTTTTGAAACTTTTGTTGAATTCTAAAAGTAAAGATATTTCTTCTGTAGAAAGCTGGGGTGTATTTTAACATTTAGAAAATTGTGTGGTAAGAGTGTGTATATGATATAGGTAGCTTCTTAAAGTGAGGCTCTTGATTGGTGTACCTACATATATATGCCTTTGCACCTATGACCCCAAACCATTTAGAAGGCATGAACCTTAAGAATATATTGTAATAACAGTACTTTTTCTTTACTTTGGATTTCATTGGAGGACTTTAATGCATTTTTGAATGTTTTAATCTAAGTAACAGCTTCCAAGATGACTGAATGCCTGCTCCACAGAGACCTTTTTCTGTAACTTTTCCCACCTTAGGGAAACAAGCCAACACACACATACTTCTTACATCAGTTCCCAGACATGTAAGAGGACTCCTTTGTAAATTTTTCTTAAATATATTTTGAAAGTGACCCTTCACATGGACCAGGTTTCCTAGGTTAGGTTATAGATGCATTACATGAAGTTTTAAATTGATCAGATGATGATGATGATGATGATTTTGAATTGGAGTCTCACTCTGTTGCCCAGTCTGGAGTGTAGTAGCATGCTCCCGGCCACCACAGCCTCGACCTGCTGGGCTCTAGCAGTCCTTCCGCCTCAGCCTTCCAAGTAGCGGGAACTACAGGCATGCGCTACCACACCCAGCTAATTTTTGATTTATTATAGAGACGAGGGCTCACCAAGTTGCTGGGGCTGGTCTTGAACCCGCGGGCTCAGGCAATCCACTCGCCTCAGCCTCCCAAAGTGCTAGGATTACAGGCTGAGCCACCGAGCCCAGCCCAGATGATTAATTTTTTAAATAAAAGTTTTAAAACTCATCTAAGTTCAAAACATATATCCCTTTAAAATTTTTGTGTTCTGAATGTTTAGGGCAAAAGCAAAGACAAGCCGTGTGTGTGTGTGTGTTTGTATACGTGTACATGTGTGTGATTGCTTCATAGAATGCTAAAACAAAAACAGCTTCAGTTTCCCTTAAAATCTCGAGGTGACATTTTGATTATGGGTGTAGACATTGCTGGCGTTTTATTACTAGATATTGACCAGCAAAAGTGAAAATTGCTTATCACACTCATGAGTTTGATATACTTCTTGCCTAAGGAATAGAAAAGTCAGATTGTCCAGGAGTATCAATATTTTTCGTATCTTTTCATGTATATTTTCCTTGCCTTTTTTCATTCATCCATGAACAATTAAATGAAGCAAGTTTCTCTCAATAGCAAATATTTACTTTCTTAAGATTAGCTTTCTTTGCTGTCCTGATAACCTAGGGATGAATCCTGACTCATGCTGTTCAAAACAGGAAGAGAAAAACCTTTGTTTTGTTAATAGATTGTCATTATGGATATTCTATTAAAAATCCCAGGGATTGGGATTTTTCAAAATTGGACAACTTTGGGATCTTTTTTAGACTTTTGGTATTGTCCCTTAAATCCCCTCGCTGAGTGATTTTAAGAGGCAGTTGGTCTCTATAAGAAAAATGTAAGCCATGCTTGCTACCCATGGTCATTACTCAAGAGACCCTCTACGCTTAGAAGGGGTAAGGCTAAAATTTGTTCCTCCACCCTCGTTTTATGTAAATATTGTAGCTGACCTCCACAGGTGTTGACTGTACCATATCTAGAAATACAAAACTTAAGCTCTTGAGAATTTTCATCCTAACCAATCTAGGTGAACAATTAGTTAAGATGGTTTAGGAAGAACTTGCCCCAATAACTGATTCATAGTTTTTCTTTGTATTAATTATCAGGTTTTTTCTCTCCAATCTTTGTATTGAAAATTATTTCCTAACCCATAAGGATTTGTTGAGATACCATTCTAGAATCCCTAATATTTGTTGTTATAGCAACAATGGAACCCAATTTTCTTTTAAAGCATTACTTAGCTTTCCCTACTTAGGCAGAAAAGATATCAGAGGGAGGGTGATCCCAAAGCCTGAGTTGTGGCTATGAGGCTCCAGTTTCCTAAATTGTCTGTGGTTATATATAACTGTGCGTTCCATCTTGTCTGGTACCTGGTCCACATCTTTTCTGAAATCTGCTGGAAGGTGAGTAAAGGGCAGCCTAGGAAGGCCCAATAATAGATTGAGGAGGGTTTGCGTTACCTGGAGGACAGGTCCAAAGACTGGTATTGCCATAATCCTTTTTCAGTATTGCTGTGATCAGATGCTCCTAGAAAAGCTCTAAGAGCAGATGTGTGTAGAGGAAGAGAAGTTGTGTAGTCGAAGGACAGGGCTGTTACGCTTATCTTGAGTGCGAACAGAAAACTGTATTAACAATAGGGCTTTGTGCCATTGACAGAGTGTGAAAGAAGGAGCCTATATTACATTGGGACTTGGGACCTGACCTGCCTATATCTAGCCAGCCAGAGTGAATAGGGTCAGTGTTAGCTACCTTCATCTATGCAGTCACAAAGGTAAAGATGATACTGGAGACTATGTTCCCTCCCGCGAGGCCTTGGCCTCATGCCCCAGCAACCTTGGCAAGACTTGCTAAATAGCACCTTTGTTTGAGACAGGGTAATGCATCATCTCCTCTTCTACGCCCTCATGACAAGTCTAGGTGGCTTGAGATCAAGAAGCGAGGACATGGACACGGACCCTCCCTCTGAGCAGCTCTAAAGTAGGGCCAGGCACACTGTCTTCCTGTAAGTTCTTGACCAGATTCCCTTCACTCCCTTGACAGAGCCATCCCCAGATACTCTTGTTTGGTTTTTACATGTTAAAGTGAAATGCATGTAATGAAGAGGCCTACCATAGATTTTGATTCGGGGCAATAAAGATGTGTTTTTGTCACAGAACCTTTTGAACATGTCCTCGTGAACCCCCCTCACCTTTCGTTTCTCAGTGCATTGTGACCAGTAACTGTTTTTCTTAATAGAAATGTCAACAGACATTTTCCAAGAAAGGATCCTGGTTTTGCTTCCTAAATGATGAGGCAGTCAGACATAACCGACTAGCTAGCTGGTGGTGTAATTTTTTTCAGCGTTCTTCTGAATGGGGGATTATTTGCTCATGCTTACAGATTAACTACTTTTTCTTGCTTTTAGTTATGCTAGGCAGAAATAGTTTAATAAGTCTTTCTTGTGAAAAAGAAATTAATTTGTTAGAACTTTCTTACTGTAAATTGGAAGTCATCTTTAAGATTAAAAAAAGAAGACAACATCCCTAAAATTAAATAACTTTATTGGCTCCCTGTGTCTTTATTTCCTGGTGGAGGCTCTTATATTTGGCTCTCACTCATTTAATAATTCCAGAAGTTGGGAAAAAGCCTGGCTTTTGATGTCTAGTCTGGTCAGTGACAATGCCAAGGCATTCATCACCCAAGGGAGGGAATTCCATCACAATAAAAAGGAACTTTTTCTTTCACCTCTCCAGCCCTTCTGTTTGAAAGCAGCTATGGTGGCTGCAAAGGTGTTTGTCTTCCCCCCAACCCCCACCCCTCAAAATGCACTCCCTGGCCTCCTTCCTGGCATTTGGTCCACCACAAACTCATGCTCGCCTCTCAGCTCCTTTTGTGGCTTCTCCAGCAGAGGCCACTACTTGAAGAAAAGGAAGAAAGATATCCCAGAAACATACGGTCTTTACAAAGGATAAAAATAGCTTTTTATTATAGTAATTTAATGACTCTGCATGTGATCCTAATAATAGACATGGATGAATTCCAATTTGGGAGAAGTCAAAGAAGCCAGAGGGGAGTTGAATGTGGAGTTGGATACCAAGAACAGGAAGTGCCAGACCAGCCTTTTGAGTCTCTGAAAAGTAGAAATACCATGAGGTGCTGTGGATTCACAAGGAAACATAAGTTTCTCTGGGCAAGTGGGGGTTAGAGATAGGGAAAGAGCTGGAACCCTGGAGAAGAAAACATTGGCAAGGGGATTCTACAGGTTATGGCCGTAGGGGTAGAAAGGCTAAATCTGGGGGGCTACCAGACCTAAGTACAGCAATTTTGGCCTTAAATACAGCCACATTAATATGAGCCCAGATTTCTTTTTTCTTTCTTTTTGAGTTGGGGTTGCAGTCTATCACCCAGGCTAGAGTGCAGTGGCACCATCATGGCTCACTGCAACCTCAACCTCCTGGGCTCAGGTAATCCTTCTGCCTCAGCCTCCCAAGTAGCTGGTACTACAGGCATGGGCCACCACATCCAGCTAATTTTTCAAATTTTTGTGGCGATGAGGTCTTGCTATGTTGCCCAGGCTGGTCTTGAACTCCTGGCCACAAGTAATCCTCCTGCCTCAGCTTCCCAAAGTGCTAGGATTACATGCATGAGCCACCACCCCTGGCCAAGCCCAGGTTTCTAATTTCAAATAAGCTCAGTATGCATCTTGGGTTCTTTGTTAGCCCAGTGGCATCTTAACTTATGAATGTCCCTATATGTTTTATGTTAGCTAAACTTTTAGTAAAATGAGGTCATATTTACCCTTATTGTCAGAATTGTGAAAAGCCTTTTATAAAAGCCTGGAAATAAAGGACCTAACTGCAAATTCATATCAACCTCTCACTACATCTAAACCTAGTCCCTACACTGTGGCCTGCTATGTGTAATTGCATGGTCTTGCTTTTTTGATTTTGTTTTTATCACAAATTTTAGCCTTTAGAAAGAAAATCTATTTGATTTTTATAATGGTAAATTAAGTAATTGATTTAATGTTGATGCCGTTCAGGGAGAAGGTTTATCATTGAACTCAGGGAGGGGGGAAGACGAGGTTTTTCTTCGTTCAGAGGCCAGAGCACTACCTCATGGTATCCACTGGGCCAGCAAGTTAGCCCTCTTATCTTATCTCAGTTTACCTGAGCTGGGAAAGAAGATGCAGACCTAATTTTCCAACTCCTGCTTCCATGCCCTTCTCAGTGGCCGAGTTAACTTGGCTGGGTTTTCCCTCTGAGGTCATCACTTATTTATCCCTTTCTTATAAAATTCACTTTCTAAAGAGCTGACGGCCACTTGCTCTTTTCATCTTCCTTGAGAAAGAGGTTCATCCAGCTCAGCTCTTCTCAAAGAGCCTATCTGCACATTGTGCTTGTTTGTTCATGTGTAAAAAGAGGAAGAGAATAGTCGTGAATATGATGTCAGTGTAAAGGCTTCCTTGGGACAGGCTGGATAAATTGGCCAAAAGGCTGAGTTCTTCCACAGCCTTTGGAGTTTGAATGGGCTTGTCTCTGAGAATCCAGAATAGAGAGCTGCCTGTTATATCATGTGTGTGCTACGGAAAGGTTGGTGCCAGGTGGGCCTGAAAGCCTCCTTTTCTGTTCCCATGGGCTTCCACGTACCTGTCCTGGTTGCTATGCCCTGACACTGACCATATTTGACCTGTACTTAGTATTTTTTTACTCAAAGAGACTCTCTCACTTTACTGTGACTCTCCCAAAAATCTTGAATTCCAGATGAGCCAGGTCATGCCACTGTGAGCGCAGGAGGGCCTTTAAAGCCCCAAAGTGGGTCACTTGCACTCTCTTCTGTCTGCTTCTGTTCCTGAGTGGTTGGCACAGACAAGGGCCATCAGTAGAACTTGGCTGGCAAAGTGAGCGGGAGCAGGAGTCCAGAGAGAACCCAGGAGAAAGAGACGGAGCCCGGGGGATGAAATGTAGTTCAGATTTGTGCTGGTGTGTCCGATGTGCCTTGGTTTCAGTTCTTCACAATTTGTCACTGTGGTCTTCTTCCCCCTTAGAGAAGTCCAAGCTGCTGGAAAGGGACAGTGCTTTCTATGCTAATCCCTTCTGGTCTGCTTGCTGAGTACCTCTGGCAGGAAGAAAACAGTATCCTGAGGGCAAAAACTAAAAACCTATTCAAAGCCTACCTGAAGAATATTCCAGAGTTCCTCCCTGGGGAGGAGAAGAAAAGGAATAACAGTGTCCTTCCTTTAATATGGAGGGGACTGAAGCACAGAGCTGGGGGGGCCCTTGACTGCTCAGGACTGATCTGTCTGACGCCTTCGAATAGCAGCCTCTCAGAACTAGAGAAAGGCACTCCTCAAGAAGTGAGTCTGGACTTATGTCCTCTAGGACCCTGGCTTCCCTCTTCCCCCTGACAACTAAAATGAGTGCTCCCTCTTCTTACCGTGTCTTGCACTTAAGTGCTCTTTCCACTCATCCTTCCTCTTGGTGACAGCTTGGTTTGCAGACTGGCCTGCATTCTGCCCCTTTCTTCCCCTGTGTGAAGAGCCACGTTTAATGGGAGCCCTTTGGTGAATGATCATCCCCGGTGTGGTGGGTGTGGACAGACCTCTGTTGACTGTTGGGGCTCTCCACAGAACAAAGGGGGCAGCCTCGGGGGTGGAGGGGGCAGAGACTCGTGCCTGGGATCCGATAGCTGGGAAAACAGAGCAGTTACATAACGGTGTTTACTATGGTTCAGGTGGCTCTGAGAAGGCAGAGGCTCCCGGGACTGAGGGCAGTACCAGAGGTGGGGACGTGTGACTCGCAGGAAGGGAGGCCCCTCCTGGACAGGAGAGTCCTGTGGAGGAGATGGTGCATTGGGATCCAGAAAGGAATCTGCACTGTTGTCAGCGTCATCTAGGACAACCTTCCCTAGCCTCAGCCTCTCCCTAAGCCCATGCCAGCTGTGAAGGCAGGCCAGCAGCGAGGGAGGAGTGGGGAAATTAGACACCTGGTTCCTTGACGAGAATCTCTAAACCCTGCTATTTTTCTTCTCCTTAATCTACTTTTCAAAGAGGAGGAATTCTCCCTAAGTATGAGCAGAAAAAAAGAAATCAGTTAGGTTTCCTAGTGTTTTCCCTGCCCTGTTGTCCCACCAATCTTTCATCCTGTCCTCTCTTCTGTGGGGCCAGATGGGTACCACAGAACACAGTGGCGTCTGACCTGAAGGAGGTGATAAGCCCAGTGGAGTCTGGGCCTAAGTAGACTGGCAGAAATCAAAGCGGTTCAGGAGGAAGGCTCAGGTCTTCCTGGGACCGCCCCCCCCCCAGGCTGTTTACTGAACTCCCTATTCCCATAGAGATGAAACTGGTCGCCAGTCCCAGCTCCTTGCCCATGGCTGCTACCTCCCTTGGTGAGAAACAGGAAGTTAGGACCTTTGTCAGCTCAGCTGCACCCTCTATATTAAATATTTATCTTGGAGTCCAGGTCAGAGCCCTAGAGAATAAGAGACGCTTGCTGCTGGTGAGAGGGTATGGCCAGGATTCCTGGAGTTGGAAGATCTTCAGCTTCACCATCTTTGGAGAACAAGGAAGAAAATGAAAGTGATGTGGTCCTTCTTAGTCACAAGGACCCTGACAGGTGGGAAAAACTGTGGACTAAGGAAATGTTATCCCTGAGGGAGGGAAAAGGATGGCACCTAGGAGTGGATAAGTAGGGATCCAAAGCTTCAGGGGAGAGGCAGCGCACCACTGCCCCCCCCTCAGAAGTGTCCCAGGACCCCTCCACTCCTGCAGCTTCCTCCAGGGGCAGTG